CTGATTCCAAGTCATCAATGAGACTGATGAAATCCACGGATTGCCTCACTCGTCACGTCTGTTTACTAAAGCGCATTTACATTTCCAATAGTCTTTAATCGCCTCTGTGCCAATCCTGGGGCGCGACGTTCCATTCGGTCAGGTAGCCAGCGGCAAGATGTGTCCACATGAGCTGCTCCAGCTAGCAATAGCCACTTGTCAAGCGACTAATCATACAATTGCTCAGCTGCTTTTGACTCAAGCAGGCCTGACAAGTAAATGATTATGTGTTCATGGACCTCCTGATTTAATGGATGGACCAATTGTAGCTCATTTCGCTCAAACGAAAAAAATTCCGCAGATTCATTACGAGACCAGTATTCTCAGGAGCGACCACTTTTTACTTATTTATAAAAGTCCACAAGGCACAGAAATAAGAGGAAAACTTCTGGCATATCAAAAAGTGGTAACACACGCGTCACAAGAAAAAAAAACAATTTGTGGCCGCGGTAAGTGAAAGGTCAAGCGCAACAAGTCGATCGTAAAATGAGTTTGAGTGTGTGTGTGTGTGTGTGTCTTTTCAACTTGAAAGATTATCAAAATACACCCCGGGGAGAGTCGTGGTTATCCCTATTGACTGATTGGCAGGGAGCCACATCATTTGAACTGCACGTTTTAGATGCGGATGTGTAAAATTCTAAGCGGTCACAAGCAATGAAGGTAACACAATTAGATCTTTGCCATCCGATCGATAATGCGGTAGTAATCAGGCATATCGTAGGATCAGGGGAAAGGTGAGCAGGAAGAAGGGCAATAACTAGATTCAGTGCTTACACATGCGTGAGAAATTACCAAATTACAGGTGGTTTATGTGGGGATATACCACGGACATTTCCGGCCGAATGACGCCTCATCAATCACCATTTGTAGGAGCTTGAAATGCCAAGCCTCCAGGACCAAGGTTGTAGAAAAAGAGGGCAAAAGAAGAGGCCAACAACATGGCGCACGAGGGTAGTAATTAAAACCCGAGGAAATTAGAAGGGCTGCAGTCACATGAACCGCTACCCCCCCCCTTTCCCAGCTAGTTAATAATCTGTAGTTGGCGGGATCAAAGGGAAGACGGGTGATGACAAGCACGGCCGGCTATTTACGGCTTAGGCGACACCAGCGTAAGGTGGAGTGCGTCTTTCAGGCTTAGTGGGCTAATCGACGCGAGTGGATAGAGCTTAGATTTTCGTCGACATGTGATGGATATGCCAAGAAAAGCAATAAGAGGACAATCCTCCACAAGCCGCACAACTCAACTGCTTATCAGGAGAGAACAAGTCAAAAAGGAATAAACGCTGGTAGTGGCTCTAAACTGTTATCAAATAGTCGATGCAATGGGAGAATAACTGCCAACCTAGGGACCCCATAGAGGCGTCAAAAACGCATGCAACAGAGCTCACCTCAGCCTTGGTGATTGGCCGACCGGAAAAATCCCATTCGTCATAGAAGCTGTCCAGATCAGTTGGCGCCAGGTCCGACTCATCGACGATGGCCTCCAGACACTGCAAAACAGTGAAGGGGAAGGCATGAGAATGTGGATCAACTGCCAACACAGACTAACACGAGTAAACTATTACTCATTTCCTTCAAAGTTTACACAGTAAAATAGAGCGTAGACAGACTTTTCTGTGAAGACATCTAAAGGTGTTTCAAGGGCTTCCGTTTCACCTAAAATGATTACGTCTGAATGGTTTAAGTACTTCAAAGAGATTGGGGTGGAGATCGGAGAAAACACCTGAAAGAGAGAGTGCGACCAACGCAACCAAAGGAGCGAAAAAGGCTACTACACCGGCGTAAAATGCGGTGGAGGACCACCAACTTTGGTATCTGTGTGCCACGAGGAGGGCTAGTTAGTAGAGCGTTTGATTCAGCCGATGCCACCACTCAGTGAGTGAATCTTGGGCGCTGGGTGGCGGAGAAGCTGTTAGGAAGCAGACATCATCGGGGTGGTTTTGTCTAATGTCCATCCACACAACCAGAAAGACAAAGCCACAGCTTACAAATGGATATTGAGTGCATCAAATAAGACTAACGTCAAATATTTCTTCAGTTGTGGCAACCAAATGGATGGCACGAGCACCCTTTCGTCATCTCGGTTAATTTTCTGACATCTTTGGGTTAGTTTTGCACGCGCTGAGTAAGGTGATCTGTTACTGCCTTGCATCCAATGATTTTTAAGCACCTGAATGGCAAAATCAAGTGAATTTTAACATTAGACGAAGCATGTGAAGCCTTGGAATTCCACTTGAAAGTTACAAGGGTAAAAGCATCGATTAAAAAAGGTGGTGTGGGGAAAAATTATGCATTCTGTTTAATACACCGCCATGACCTATTCTCCAAACCGATTCATTAGATTAGAGGCAGACAACTTCAGAGGGTTTTCGTGTGTACGCGCTTTCGACTTGCAACTTCTATTAACAAATTTGATTGTGCACAGATGCCACATTGTTTCATGCTCTTTTCAACTGGACTTGATACAAGTCAGTTCATTTTGCCGTTTGGAAGGGTACTTCTGACTATCTGATATTCTGATTTAGACAATTTGAGACCTTGTGCTGTTTGTTAATTATGAAAATGATGATGATGACGATGATGCGGAAGACGGTCATTTGGTTTTATTGTTTTAAGTAGTGTCGCACGACAAGATTTTCGGAGATATCATTGACATCAGATCGACTTCTGGCCCACTATGTAGGTGATCGTCAGTTCGACAAAGTATTCAAATCCACTGGATTTCTGCTAGACTATCTAAGTAGAGCGGTTGTATTCATTGGATGTCACAAGTACCCATATACGCTGTATTTTAGGCTCTCTACTCAACCTATTGTAAACTCACGACTTCCTGATTTAACTACTACGTTTGGGGCAAGAGAGCACTATCTGAATAGAATCCTTTAGTCAAATTGAAAACGCAAAAATGGTTGGAAACGAACAAGGAAACTCGCACTCACATCAGCTTGAAATAACACGGCAACCTACTGCTTTGATGGCGACTCCATTGCATCTCGCGCGTTCTTCTCTAAAGTACACGCCACTATACACAATCTTCTTATTTACTCAAGCAGAGATCTCAAATTGTGAAACCTCTGCGAACAACACAGCCAACCGAATAATCAGCCAACACCGTGGTTATGGCGTCTGGCACTAGAAGTTCACATCGACAGATTTTTCTTGAAATTCGTGAACTCTTCCATACATCTGATATCTCGCTAAGTTTGAAGCTTCGACTAGGTGAGGAGATGTCGAGTGTCAGTTTAAAAAACAACCCCGAATTCGTGGCAAAATATTGTGACTACAACTAGATGTCGATCTGATGGAATTCACACACAAAGCCAAAACTCTTCGACTCAGCACTGAACTCAAGTTAGGTGTGTGGCGATTTGTCGTTGGTGATTTTTTCAGAAAACGAGACCGCATTCCCGAGGGATTGAATTCGAAAGCGCAAAAAGCCACCGAGATGCTTCTGGAAGAGGTCCCTGGGAAATTTGGGCATCCCACTCTTTCTAGCATTCAATGTTGGGCCAACCTCTGCGCCCAAAGACAACACTGATGTGAATAAGGAAAACGAAGCTACGCCTGATCCCTCGTATGATACCCCCTCAGGACAGATGCCGAAACGCACACAATGATTCACTTGATTGTTGGATTTCGACATTCGTGAAATCTTAAGTAGTCAGCCCGATTGGTTACAACCAGCGTGGGGTCGGGGATGTCTAGACAAGGATGATTCGCGACGTCGGGAGGGACAACACATCTTAGTGAAGACGTATCTCGCGTTAGGAAATCAAGACAGAGAAGAACACATGGTTCGCAGCACACTGCACGATCTACCAACCACATAGTTTGGGTCTGTCAAACATCTAAGTTCTAAAAATCACCGTATAAGACAAGAGGTCATTTTCCATTCTTGGTTTTATGAGTCAAAATGAGGTGAAATCACAGTGGTGATGTTACCATTCATTTGGCAGCGTCTCAAGCACCGTGTGAACTGCGCAATCACAGCGGCCATGATTCGCTCACTGAAATGTGGCATCGGCTGGATCAAACGCCCTACTAACTAGCTCTGCTGGCAGCACACAGATTCCTCTTCCACAAGATTCAACCCATGTTTAGCAGCTTCTTTTTATTCTCTAGTTGCGTTGGTAGCACTTCTCTTCCCACTCTCCACGCCCACATCCTTGAACGACTTAAACCATCCATAAGGGATCATTCTAGGTGAAACAGAAGGCCTTAAAACCCTTCCAAGTGCCTCAAGGATTACGATTACCTGCAATTAACCTTTCGGCTACGCAGTAATTTGGGGTGTTATTTGCAAAGCGGTCGTAAAATGAATTCACCTCGAAGCCTCGCTGGCCAACAACAAACACCCGGCAACGTAAGTCTGTGCAAACAAACGCGAAGCAAAACTGAAGTCTTGCTCTCTATAAAAAGACAAGGTGGTGTTATCAACGACGGTTTATTTGTTCTGTTAGCGTAAACACGTCTAATATTCTGTTCAAACCCATGAAAAAAAACTCATTGGATGCAACAAGTAACGCAAAATTTGACACCCAAATCCGCTTAGCTCTGGGGGAATAATTTGCTGTGATGATAACATCCTTCAGATTTAGCAGAAATTCTGAACAAAGAATGACCGCAGACGAACTTTCAGACTCTCAAGATTGACGGTGTGGAATTTCACAATAAAATTGCCGTTACATTGTGAAATACGCATTTTACCAATAAGAGATACAAGAGTAGATGAGGTTTGGTGATATGGTTGGTTTGGAACAGAAGTCAACATCGATAATCTTGCAGACCTTGTAAAGTTATGTAACAGTTGTGGGAGAAATGTTTGTTGAAAACAAACACCACTGCTAACCAGTGATGTCGTCTAATGCGTGATGGAGACATCCGTAAACAGTTGAATGCCACCGTGGTCAAATGCGTGCGTCCGTTTCCTAATGTGAGTTAAACTAAACGCACAAACATCGTGCTGACGTCTTGTTGAAGCAACAACCAAAAATCCATGTGCTTCAAGCGTGCGTTCCCCAGGCTTTATGCAAAGTGTCATCCGATAACTTCGTTAAAGCGTTCTCAGATGCAAGTAAATAAGAATTCGATACAGAAATGCTGTCATACATAAATTACTCTTTTTAACAATAAAATAAAGTCCTACACATCGAAAAGAGACTACAGGGAAACGCCGTTAAAGCAGAGATGCAACACAAGAATCGGTTAAAAGACAACTACTGTAAACTCTTAAAGTGAACTAACTGCAACCAAAAAAAACACCCTTTTCGGGACACTCTAACGTGATTACGCAGACATTACTTTGAAGCGGACACTGTAACCTCGTACGCCTGTTTGCTAAGATCAACAAACGAAATATCGATGAAGATTTATGTCCTGCAACCCAACCTTGTAAGACGAGGCAAGATGCACTTTTATTTAAATTCATCTGCCAATCCTGACGCGGAAATCTTTTTAACTGGTCTTCAATTTTGCCGTCCCGATTAAAGTCGAGCATGATATTTTGGCATTTCTGAGGTTAGGTGAAACAATCGTCTAGCCTCTATTCTCCTCCAAATGCATGTTGTTTTTTTTAGAAAAAAGTGATGTCTTAATTTAAATCAACTTTTTATCAAGTATAGGAATGACCTAACCAATGAAGCATGCCTAGAATTAACTTCAAGGCACACTAAAGTAGACCTGGAACTACTGATAAGCATGGTATACTGCTTACTTTAAAAAAAACACAATAAGAGTGTTGAAGTGGAAGTCACAGCAAACGAGGATCAAGTAATTTTATCGAATTTAGCCTTCCCTCCTGCAAGTATTCCACATTAGCGGTAGCAACAGTCTGTGTATGCGCATTACTCATGTACTACCAGGTAGACAATTGAGAAGCGATAGTACTTCTTTGCCCAACTATTAACTCGTGTAGGATATTTGCCCAAGATATTTTTTTGGCAAAATTGTAGAATTTATCGAACACAACTTATTCATAATTGGAATCACGTAGTTGTTTAGAATCGTGTTGATTCGGATCCGTTAACCACCTCCGTTTCACAATTCCCCTGGCACCGAACTAGACCCATACCAGGACCCCAGCATATTGCTGAAAAACCATTTAAGTACTATCATCGTTTGAAAGCCAATTAGATCAGATTTGGTGGAATATAGACGCATAGTACACTGAGAGCAGCCTAAGCATACAAAGTAGTAAACAATTGAGCAATTGAATGCACGACAAAATGGGACATGTGAATGCGGCATCAGTTTAGCCTGTACTTGTCTAAAACACATTGCTAGACCCCGGATACGGGCAGTCGTTTGCAAAATTGCTGATACACTTCAAGGTACACCTCACAAATCTTGCCAGTTTCTTAAACGTAAGTTAGTTTTTTTTTCACAAAACACGTAGAAAAACATTTGCAGCGAGGAAATACGTGGTCACAGGTCAGAGTGAAAAGATCGCAGCAGCAGCAGCAGCAACAACATAACCTTCCAATCGTCACTAAGCATTCTCTGTGTGTGCAACTTTTGACAGAAAAAAAAAACGAGATGCTGAAAAAGGCATGCAAGCTGCAGACGAAAAAAGACAGAAAATTCCATCATCCCTGTTCGCGAAGCAAAAGATGCTGGAAGGAGACAGCGTTTGAACATTCCTGGGTAAGCGCTGAGAAAAGCAGTGAAGATGCCGGTTTAAAACAAAGTAGTAAACAGCGAATTTGATATAACAAAAGGAGCGTCTGCAGTTAGTGTGTGTGGTTGATAAGGGCAGATATACGATGTAAATAAAGCTGTGTCGACAACAGGACGTGAAGTGGAATCTATGCAAACTTGTTTGATTTCGTCATTGAAGTCAACAGACAGTGGTTCGTGAGATTGCTTGCGTAGAACGAAAATCACAGCTGGGTTCTGACAAACGTCGAGAATTCAAAACGGCCAAAACAAACATCCCACGAAAAACCCAGAGGCGCCCAGAGGTGGGTTTTACTAGAAAGTGTTGGTCGTTGCTCACCGCCCGGCAGGCAATTTGCTCTGCGTGAGCTTTCAGCTTCGCGACCACCAACACCAAAACATAGCAACGGGGGAACGAGGGTCTGGGGAACAAAATTGAGAATCGCCCTAAATCCTGCTGGAAGGCGTGAAATGTAATAAGCAGTGGTTGATACGATAGTGGGTCCCCATTTCAACTCCCACCTCCGCAGTACTGGTAAACATCATGCTAGTTTGCTTGCTTGGCACTGTTAAAAGTAACGATGGACTCGTCACCTGCTGTGAATCGAGTTGGCACACGTTCATTAACCCGGTCGTTGCAGTCTCCGTCACACTGACCTCCACCTTTTCACGACGTCCCTATCGATCATGCAAAACCCTCGCCTCAAACATCCCCCACGCTACCCGTTTCATTCAGCCAATCGTACGTTTACAGTTTCACCAGACTGTACGGGTCAAAAGCCCCGATTACCCCCATTACTCAGACACGACCATTTCCTGTGAGCAGTGTTGCAACAGTCACAGATAGGTTGAGTTGTGTAGTAAACGGTTGTCTCTTGCCTTTGCGGATATCTGAGTGGCTTGATCGGGCTGATTCAATTCAGCGGCTGCGACGTGGTACACGACCACATGCCGGGACCTACAACAACAACAACACAGAGATCATTCAAGCTTTTGCAGTCCGACCTTTGAACGCCCATTGGCCTCTTCACCTGCACCCAGGGCCGCCCACACCACAGATAAGTGGGCGCATGTGGACGGGCGCTTGGCCTATGGCCGAGACATGTTTTGGCCCAGCTTGGAGAGGCGCTGACTCACACGCGTTCAGTCCGAGTGCTGGTGTGGAAGGCCTATAGCATGCTAATGAGGGGATTAGTTAACTGCGCTCGGGGCTTTGTACCGGGAACCACAACAGATGCCGAGAAATCCATACGTGCACAACGCTTATGGCCTGTGGGATCGCATTAGTAAGCCTTGAATCACCCAACCGGATTTCCAAAGGCACATTCAAACTCATGCAAGGACTTATCTGAGGGTGGTTCTAGTTAGGAGGCCTCGCCACGAGGTCTTTGAATGAAACCTGGTATAGGACGATGTGTGTTTGCATGTGTGTGCGTGTGTGTGTGTGTGTGTGGAAGATCTGTCCCAGCACGAACACATAAGACCAATTTACCGACACTACCGACACAACATTTTAACAAGCTCCGAGCGTTAGGCAGGCCGCAAACCGATCTGCACAGAGACGTTTGCCGTGCTTGAGTATTCGCCCTAGCCCACATCGCCGATTCTATCTCCTCCGTTTGCTTCGTTTGGCTTCCCTCTTTTTTGCTTCATAAAACAATGGTAATTCAGTAAGTGGAGGGCCAAATGTGATTAGATTGCAGCAAATAAAGCGCCAACGCATCACCCTTCATCCGCCTCGCCCATTGTCACAACAAGAATGCAGGGAAATGAGAACCAAGTCTTCGGTCGATGGTGGCAAAAATTGCCCATTTCACAACACCAGCCAGTAAAAAGAGTGAGATCGATTAACAAAGCAGCGAGTGCAGGAAGGAAGGAGGGAAAACAGCAAGTGAACAACCACACGAGCCTATGTTGGAATCAGCAGTATTGGCAAGTAATGCGTTTATCAATGAAGCATGACGAAAATAGGAACGGCTTCGTTAAAACGTGACGGGTGATTTGAGAGCAACAACAGCTGACACGGTGATAATGGACCTCTACACGTGATAGTATCGGCAAATGAACCAGGAGGTTGGCAAAAGTGCACAACTCACCTCGTCGTCGACGACCGGATCCTCGGAATCCAGTGATTTGGGTTCGGTAGCCTCGTGAGTGGATGCGATCGGCGTTGGCGGTACCTCCTGTGCGTCGGTGGTGGTCGGCTGTGGTGGGTGGAGAGCGCGTTCAGCCTCGTCCAAACAAAGTTGGCAATTTTTCAAGAGCAAACGCATCACGGTGAGGTCCGGGGAAACGAACTCCTCCAGGTCGATCGCGGGGTCTTTCTCGGCCAGACGGTCCTTGAGGTGTTGAAGGCTGCAGGAAAGAAGGCGTTTAGAGGGGCGGAACAGGCTGGGGGGGTGTGGCTGAGGCCACTGAAACAGATTTGACGTTGTTTAGTCCAAAAGACACGAAGCCATAAGCGACGAATAGCCGATAGGTCATAGGCCAGCACAATCACCGCTAGGGCCGATTGCAAAAACTGAACCAAGTCTAGCCAGCGATAACAAAGTGCACCTTGATGTGGTCTAACAACAAACTTCTAGAGTTTTTGCAAAAGATGTGATGTAATTTAATTCCATCAGACTACTCACAATACGATGACGGTGCAGTCGAGCAGAAAATCGTAAAATGCTAAGCTAATAAAAAAACGCTTTGGTGACTACTAAGAGGTCGCCATTCGAGGTGAAACCTGCTCAGCTGTTCGATCTTAACAGCTACTTGCAAAACATTTGTTTGAATTGACGCGAGTTATAGACCTTCAGTTGCGCGCGCCGACAACAGCGTTGAAGATAACCCTTATCTTACATCAACGAGTCACACAACGCCAGAACCACCCAGACCTCAACGGCAACACACCTCAAGGAATCACAGCAGGGTCTGTTCTAGATGCTGGATTGCCGTTTCGACGTAGAAACCTCCAAAGAAGTTGAAGGTGTTGTGAATCGTGCTTAGTCAACCTCTTAATCCGATCGCTCCGCCTCCGACACAGGGTTCCCCTCTTTCGCAGCATGTCGCCAGCCGCGGGAATCCTCAAACCCCCTTCATTCACACGAATATTTATCTTGGAGCATCCCCACACCTAGGTATCGATGTTAGCGCATGTACGGCTCACACACCCGAGCTATAAATACACACGCGCAAACCCCACACATGACACAACAACACCAACATACTTGACCTCTGAAGTAAACGGTTGTGTCCACATCCTCCTTGGTCTTTTTCCTCATCGTGAGCATTAGGCGAGCGTAATCGGCAAGCGTAGCCCCGGCGTGGTTCAAGACCACACGCTGGGGTCCACAACAAAGGTAATCCTCATCTCACATCAACGAGTCAAACGATGCCAGAGCCACCCAGACCTCAACGGCAACACACCTCAAGGAATCACACCAGGGTCTGTTTTAGATGCTGGATTGCCGTTTCGGGCGTCGTTACCTGTGAAACCCCACTATACAATAAAAGCCGACTCTTGCATACCGAAGAAGTTGACGGTGTTTGAGAAGTTTCCTGCTGGACGAATGTGTAAATGAGAGTAAAAGACACCCGAAAAGTTGCTGCCACTTTCTTAGGCTTTAAGACGGCCTAACCTACGCTCAGAGTTGCCTAGGGCACGCCGTGTCATTAATTAGAAGGCGATAATTACACGGTGAACAAGAAAACAAGAGGCCAAAGAGAGAGAGTGAGGTAGTAGTGGTGGTAGTAGTAGTAGTAGTAGCAGCGATGCCCCCATAACATGCAATTAATCGCGAGTGCCCACGTGGGCGCACAAACACAGAACCGGTGTTGGGCCTTCGCCGCCTTGATTAATGGCAACGCCGCGGTGACACGAGTGGGCTACGGTGAGATGGCCTATTAACTACGCGAAATGGGGACTAAAACAATGCCGCGGCGGCGGCGGCGGCGGCTTGGCCTTTGAAGAGCCTCTTTACGGACCGGACGGCGACTACGGTGAGTGTTGACGAAGGTGGGGTGGTGGAGGAGGGTGTGAGGAAAAATCGTCCTCCCCCGCCGGTTGATTTGCCCAATACGGCAGCACGTGACTTGGGCGACGTGTTTGCAGACGTTTCTGGCTGTCACGTGGCTGACGCGGGACGGCTGAAGCCAGCTGGCAAGGCCCGGGCTGCGTCACGTGGCTGCAACTCATCCAGCAGCAGCAGCATCAGCATCTCACTCCGTCGGTACTTCCAGAGGTACAAAAGGGCCTCGCTCATTTTGAGTGCAGACGTTTGTGAAATGAGATCGTCATTTTTCAAGTAAGTCCATTCGCTATAGGTAGGTCAACTCAAGGTCACATAGACTATCAACAGTTAAAACAAAAACAGACGCACCCCCTCCCAAAGACACGATCCCAACACCTTTAGGGACACTCACCAAGCGGGGCGCCGAATATTAGCAGAAATATTTACCTATCATATATATTATCAAATGTGTCGTGCTTTGGTGATGAAAAAGGACTTTGTTGCGGACTTGGTTTTCAAATGCAGTGATTTTAAAGCACATGAGGCGCGACCCCCATAACTTGAGGCATAATTTAGTCAGAAAAAGAGGGATGAAACAGATACGTGGGAATGAGAATGCTACATAAAAACGCTACTAAAAACATATAAGTAATGATTAAATTATGTAGTCGGACCATACCGATTGGACCAATTAATTAAGTGGAAGTGAAGGCTCTCCAGGAACAGGCGATGATGCTTAAGTTGTAAATCGTCGGGAGAGCAAACTGATTGGGTGGGTTTATGCAGCGGCCTATCCTTAGGTAGAGATCCCGATTGCAATTGGCACCTTATTTGATTGAGTTCAACGAGATCTCTCTTGCTGCAATGTAATGTCCACAGCCAGAGAAATACAATATAACCAAAACGACCTACAATGCGCGTAAACACGGTAAACTCTGGCTCGCTGGGGCGAAAGGAAGTAAGTTCAGCAAAACTGTACACCTACAGGTGAATTTAAGCGGTCGCGGAGTTTGAAGGGAAAGGAAACACCCGATGCGTCGCAGTAGCTCCGAGTCCATGAACAGGACAAACTCAAAAAGTGCCTATGAGTTTTGCATTAAGGGAAAGGATAGGAGAGTGCCTTTATGCTGGAGAGGCTTGCGTCTGCCGCCGCATCAGCAGTAACCTCGGGAGAAACCTCAGCGAGGCAGCCACCGGCGTCCACAACCGAGGCGTCGTGGAAGACGTCACTCGCGGCACGGGACAGCTGCGATACCTGGGTCAGGTAGTCCACGGTCACCTTGTGCAGCAGCCGTGTGAATGAGGGAAACACGCTGCTCGCGCTGGCCCTCCGATTCATGCCTGCTGCTGCGCTGTAGGAGAATGAAGACGTGAAGTTGTCATGCCTGGCTAATGTAGTCGGGCCGGGAAAATACGAAAAGTTAACCCGTTGAATTCGGCGTCAAAGGTGAACTCAACCAACACCAGCATTCGCTGACGCGAAGTGGCTGCGCCAAGTTAGCACAAAAGTGGATTGAGGAGAGTATGAAGCTTAACTTACAACGTCAGACCCCATTCGGAGTATGTGAGTCCTTGGAGGAAGTGCGCGGACTTTTTGACTGACTCGTGAAACTCCTTCAAGTCGGCAATTATGCGTTTGATTAAAACGACAAAGACGCGAAGGGCGACTAGCCGTAAGAGGACCCACAAACTAAAAATCCCAATTAAGAAGGCAGCTGCAAGTGAAATAGGCGTCACACAGAGCGACACAGCTAGAACCAAAACACCCAATGCAATCAGGGACAGATTAATGGGCTGAAGTTGGCTGGCTTCGGAAGGCTTCGTTGGCAGCATTGCACAGTAGTGTTCTAAGATAACATAGTCGTCTTCGACAAGGTGGTTGGAGGTAAGAATGCACTCGAAAATTCCCTTTTTTGAGGCTTCTATCTAAAAGGATTTAATAAGCAGGGGGAAATTATGCACACTAACCTGGCTGTTAATAAATTGTGAGAGCCAGTGGAAATTGACCAGAGGTTTTGTTGGTGTTGCAGTGTCATCTGTAGGAATTTCCTTTGTTGATACCGCTGTTTCTTCGTCCAAGTTAAGCGACTGCAAATATGTTCTCAGGGGATGATTCTTAGGGCCGAAATTAGTTTGCATTTGAAACCTACAGCTGGTAGAACGCTTTCGTCTTCATCCATTGATGATAATCGAAGCGGAGATAAAATTGGCAGCTGTGTTGCGTAGTGTGGTTACGATGATCACAAAGACTTTGTACCAGCTTTTAAAAATAAAACAATGAATCAAATGTTTTTGTTAATCAACTCCGCTCAATTTACGATTCAAAAGGTGTCCATAAATGTCAACCTTTCGGCGATTTATCCCCATAATTTTCAACAAGTGATATTCTTAAGCTAAGCCAGGAAAAAATAGCAAAAATGTCACTGGTTTTATTTTGCGCACCGTGATTTCTTCCTGAAAACTACTCGTCGCCATCTACAAAACACCGACTCAAGTTACGCTATGGATGTTTTCGGAACAGCTCGGATTACGTCGAATCATGAAAGTTAATTAAACAGAGTAGTGGATGCAAACTTAGATAATTCGCCAAAATGTCTTTAACATCAAGGAAATGATAAAAATAAAACCAACGTCCAAAGCCACAACGTAAGAATATCCAGCGTCATCAACATGAAGACTTGGTAATCAGTTACCGGAGCCTCCATGGTAAATATTAGTACAAAGATAAAGGTAACCAGACCACGAAGTACATCCTATTGTTTTGCATCAATTACAAAATCAGTTCAGGACCTACAACTTTTAACGGCTGACATTTTACGATGACTTTTTGTTGGTGATGACTGTTAACCCCTACTTTGATAGCTGTCAGCTCACTCTGCATTAGTTTCAGTGTAGCAGACTGGCATGATGCTCAATCTGAATTTGTCATTATCCATCGATGAAATTTAAAAGATTGACCACAGCTAATAAATATGAAAGCAAGGTCATGACTTAATATCTGGCAAAAATAATGTTCAAGGAATCGATTTAGGCCTTTGGTAACTCAACTAGTATCGATAATTTTCGACTACACAAAGGCTCAGGGTAATGCATCGAATTTGGGTTGATGGCTTTTAATAGTAGACAACCATTTCAGACAATCGGATTATAATTTTTATAAAGGAATACTAAAAGGTCAATTTTAAATGTAGTCTACTATCACACCTAACACTTTCCACAATTACGTACTTCAAAATGAACAAACGGGTTAAATTTTATGTGCAGGCTCATTTTGGACTAAAGATGATTTGCGAAGATTCACAGTCACCATTCGTTCGTTAGGAAAAATGATATTGGTTTACAACTATTTGCTGATTGGCCATGTCTAAATTATTACCCTGTAGTTTCTTTTTGGACATAAACAGTAGTGACCATTTTTTAATGGATAAAATTTTTATTGCCTGCTATGAAGTTTGTTGAAATAATGTACAATCAGCATTATTAACTAAATTGATAGGTGAAACAAATTACTGCAAAAATTTTTGTGCTCCATTTAAACTAACCAGCAGCTGACCTCATATTATAGGGTCAGCGCTGAGAATGGTAAGAAAAAGTGACTTTGCAACCACGATTTACCTTATCTTTATTGGATCTTGAGTCAATGTTTAATTAGGTATCTTCCTGCGTTCCAGAATTTATGTAATTTTTTTTCAGGTGTAAAATTCGTAAGTAGCTTCGAAATAATACGTATTAGAAGTCCCGGGAATTTCTAGTACCTGACAGATGCAGAAAAGAGATCATTTGCTCAGAATTAACTGAATTGAAAGCTCGGTTAATTAGTACACTCTTAAAGCCACAAATACGTTCACGTTTCTTTGTAATGGCAATGGCTCTGTATTACACTAAAATTTAAAGGCCGATTTTCTGAAGCAAATTATGACGGCATTCAATAAAGTATTGATAAATGGAACGTAGTCGATTGATAGACGATTTAAGAGCATATCCTTGTCTTTAAATTTCAAAAAAACTACAGTGTGACAGTAAACGTGAATTGTCTAGGTTCTGAAAGATTACCTTAAAAATAATTTCAACATGTCAAACTATGGGCACTCGAAAAGATTACATTAGTCTAGCACATTACGTTGGTAAATATAGGAAGATGGTGAAAATTCGGTTCTGCAATCTGCCGTTAATAACAGTTTTAACTTTTACAAATTTTATACCAACATACTCCTGCTTATGGTGTTAAGGAATTAGGTTACATTTAACAGAAAAGTTTATATTGAAACCCAGACAAAGTAAGAATCACAAGGAACTTATAACTTAAAGACGCTGCAACCTGATTTTCAAAATTCCAGTGCTGTTCAAAATATGCTTTTACCAAATGGCATACATATACTTACCTCATTAATTTTCTTATGGCCTTCGATATTCAAGTGTGTAATTATAGGTATTTTTTAGAATTCTCGTTTGTCCAATTGACTCACATTAAGTATAGTTCATTACTCTTCACACCAACCCCTTTGTGAGTTATAGGCTACACTGTTAATTTCTTGTAATGGCTCACAAACCATAGCCATACAAAAATTAACTTAATCAAAAATTGCGAAGTATTTGGTTATGATGGCTGTTAAATCGTTACGGAAACTGCGTCAGATATGTCTACATTTTAATTTAGCACAAAAATAGGAAAGCTACTTGTTCCTCTGTCTGTTTCCGTCAATATTTTAAGAAAATTCTACCTTTAGCAAACATTCCATTCCCACTTTCAGGCTAGCAATACTTCCTTCACATTTATTAGCAATGTGCTGCGGCTTTTTAACTGATGTTATCTAGAAATATTCCCATTAAAGAAAAATTAAATTTCAAATGATTAATCATTTTGCTTAGTTTAAAGGCTGAGTGAAAAAATATTTCCAACATTTACGTCCAGAATAACCAAAAATCCCTCCTTGAAATCTTTGAAATGACTCTTCAGATTTTCCTTAATTAAATCAAACAGCATGCTTTTCTTATCATGGAATTAGCTCGTAAGTTGTTGACTTGGGTAAGTATATGGTAGGGTCATGTAGTCGTACATGTTATAGACGAACCTTTTAAATCTTCAGTTGTTTATTGTTCTAAAGATAAACATAACTTGGCTTATTCCAAAATAAAAAGTTCAATGAAACGAATATGTTCACAGTTTATAATATCATGGAAGTTAGATGCAGCATTAATAAATTTCTGGAAATCCATCAAGCTGAAGACGTTTTGGAAGATTTTCAGTACAGAAGTCGTTGATTCCGCTGCCATGCTGACGCGTGTCCATTAGTCAGAAAAGTTGTATTTCTTATCGCATAAAAGATCCCTAACACGGACTACAGAAAAATTGGCCTTTTTGGCACTGACAATCCCTCACTACCACGTGGTTACTGTGTGTACTTTTACCAACAAGCATTTGCAGCTACTCTCTGTGTACAGAATATGGTACCAAAATGAGTTCTGTTTACAATGCTCATACGCGTCATTTCTAAAAATTTAAGTACATTTTAATGGCAAGGGAATCGCAACTAGAAGCGTGATTTTCGAATATGCATTTTTTACATTTACAAAAAAATGCATTAACGAGAATTTTCAGTAAAGTTGTAAACATGTCCACTCATTCAGTTTCATTAGTGTGATTTAGAGAGGAACACATGAGGCAAACATTTGTGGTGCATTTTCATGTAATTTGAACGGTGTTCGTTCTCGCACTAATCCCATTTACATGCGTATGTAATTTTGTTCCCTCCTTTTCCAGTTTATGGTAGGTTAACTGGAAAAAGCGGTACTGGGATTGGTTTTGACTGCTGAATAAGTGATTATCTGTAACTTAGCAAATTTAAGCAATGGGGAATATGCGCAATGGAATTGAGGTAGTTTAATAGCGTTATTCCCAATTGGGCACTTTGATTAGTGCTCCAGCAAAACCACTATGGTAAGACAAGGGGTTACGATGAATTAACATGACAAATGATGTAAATCTTGTTCCAATAATGCCAGTTTCGCCCACTTACATTGCGAAGATAATATGAACTTGTAAATTGAGGCAATCTGATGTTAAAATGAATGATGTTATTGATTTAAACTCGATTGGCTGTTATTTATCGACAAAGATTCTCCTCTGGCTGACGTTTTCTGTGAGATCGTTAGCGATAAAACTCTGACCCTCATTTATTTTCAGTGACTCTAATGAATCACATCAACTAAAGGAATAAATCAATAACCTTATCTAGGGTTCGCATGATAAATCGATAAAAGCCGTTTTATTGGGTAAAATCCCGTCCAGAACTTTATAAGCTTACGAGGAACAATGCAAACTGCAAATTCAATGAACCAGGGTGTAAGGCAGCAGTGCTAGAACTGTGATGCTTGCAATCAACTATTATTGTGAGGGATTCTTAACGCGAAATTTGGCCGTGTGTGTCTCATAATGGTTGTACTGTGCGTTGTATCCCCTTAACAACTGCAAAAGTGGGAAAAATAAATATTTGACAAGCGGCCAAACTTGACCAAGTTTACTAACTTTCGGTCACTAATGACGACAAATAAACGTATTCAGCTACATGCCACCTCCATAACTTTTCTGTGGTAGGTTTCAATTCTTCGAAGTTCTTAGATTCCATGGGATCAGATAGGGTTTAATCCCACAAAGATTTTGAAACCCAATGCCTGATTTTAATAGCAAAACTCATGCACTGGGGGGCTATCATTGCTTTATGTCGTTTGTTCCCTGGCTTTACCTTAACGAAAATGAAAAAAACCATATTCTGATAATGAGATTGCTCTTTTGACAAGATTTTGTGTGTTCCTACATGGGCGAGAAGCCTTGGGCATGCTCACAGGAATCTCCAGTGATAATTGTGAATGAAGTTAGGCACTTCTTTGTTCCTTTCGTTCCTTGAAACTGTAGGTTGCAGATGGCCGACACAAAATGATGTTCATGTCTGTTTAATGTTGCTCTAATCAGGACATTTTTTGTTTAATAATAAAATAGATGGCACAGCCGAAAGCCATATTGTGACCTCAGTGTCGCACACATATGCTGGCCTGATTGTACTTTTCAGTCCTGTTTACATAACAGCACCGAAAATGAGGTTAATTGCGGTTTTAAACCTGTTGTGAATCGTGTTTATTCACACCCCTTGAGACGGTCGACACAGGGTTCCCCTTTTTTCAGCATGACGCCAGCCGCGGGAATCCTCAACTCCTCCCTCATTCATGCGACTATTTATCTTGGATTATCCCCGCACCTAGGTCTCGATATTAGCGCATCTATGACTCACACATTCGAGATACAAATACACACGTGCAAACTCCACACACGACGAAACGACACCAACGTAGTCGACCTCCTAAGTAAACGGTTGCGTCCACATCCTCTCCGGTCTTTTTCTTCATCGCGGGTATCGGGGAAACGTAGTGGCCCCGGCTTGGTTCAAGGCCACATGCTGGGGCCCACAACAAATCCATGTTTGTGATAATCACACGTAACAGGAGGATTCAATAGAATATTTCACAGGCACATTGGGATCCTCTTCACAGGGGTTTCCCTCAAATCCTTCTAAGCAATAAAAAACCGCATTCAAATTGCCCCACAGATGACTCTCCAGTTTCAACCGCTCAGTGTATTAAGGAAAATTCCGACTTTAATGCAAGACATAAGTTGGCTGAAATAGGTATGACTTGAACCAGTACGCATTGCGTTAAAATGGAAGTGATCGGTTAAAAGTGTGAGGAGAATCGGCACCGAACTTTTATTTTGTTTAACTCTGTGCCGCCTGCTATTGCCCACGTGACCTAGTCCACCAATTTAATCCCGCCAACTACATCTTACATTCATGGCTAATTTTGAACTTTTGATACCAAGTCGTTCACCACGCATTCCCGTGGCACACGACTGATCGTTCCTCCCAACATTCGACGTAAATCACACCAATCCAGCCTTCTTACGAATCAGTCACATGCATTTTACACGTAGAACAAAAGTGAGCTATGCGGCCGTCTTTGGTAAACCTGCACTTATTTCCTAATGATCAAAACACACAGAAAACACAGAGACGTGGCTGGTTTAAATACGTAGAGACAAACTTCTTAAAACCAAACTTTATTTTACGTGTCAGAAATATCGACATGGGCCTCAATGAGTAGACGTTAGATGGGTGGACATTGAACACGAACACGTGTTAGCCTCTCTGCCGACGTTTATACTTATTCTGTTCTACTAGAATTTCCATCATAGAAGCCTCTGCTGACATTCTGGCCTTCTATTTGTCGGGGTGAAACTAGCATTACCACTGCTTGACAATGGATCTTACAAACACTTAGGTTTCCAACTGCAACTTTGCTGACTACTACCATTGCCGTAACGAAGGATTTAAATTCTTATCTCGGAGAATTTGCAACGAAATCAACCAATAATTTACTGCAGTGATGGAAGGGAAGAAGGGAAGGGAAGCCACTTGTTGAGAAATAATCCTACTCAAAGGACAGCACAATTATGAAGTAAAAGTGCAGTACAAACTATTCCAACCTCTAGTCGCTTGCAGCAACGAGTGGTAAAATCTGAGAGACCCACCGCCATGTACCCAACAAGCCCTGCCACCCACTGACACAGCGTCCTTAAACTGAAGCACGGTGGGCAGATGCGACCCAAACTCACGATCAAGAGCAAATTGCAGGCCAATCTAATGCGAAATGCATCCGTTTGTGTTAATTTACACGAAGTACAAATGCTAAACGCGGACTTGTACTTGTTTGAGGAGTTAAATCAGTGAAATTCTTCGCGTGCATTTTGGACTCGCTTAGTATGGCTCTCATTTGTTATCTTCAAATGAAATTTTCATATGCTGTGAAATCTTGTGCGGCATGAAAGCACTCGCCAAAATTACAGGGCAGACATGGCTGTCTCCTGACCTAACATTAAAACCTGTCAACACGATAAGTGGGTGAGTCAGTTATGTGCAGAATGGAGTGAAAAGGGGGGCCAACCAATCAGAGCACGTGGCTGGAACTGGATTCAGACATGCGGATGTCCGGCGAACAATAAGTTAAGATTAACACAGCTAATGATGCAGTCAGTGTTGGATTTTTTCATTACACATGAGTCTTGAAATCACCAGAACTGTCAAAGATTCTTGCTTGGAAGGAAAAGTACTTTAAACCTGGATAAGAAGTTGACATTTGGTACGGCATATGTGCTTGCCTTACGCCAATGATTATGGAGCAATGGTCTTAAGCAAGTTCATTTGTATTTTCGCTGTCGATTATTATTTGTCAAGTCCATGTGTGACTTCACACGCGGGATTTTAAGGACATTTATATCACAAAGTCTAAAACACAACTGTTTCAACGTACCGAACCCCTGGGTAATGCTTAACAGAAGTGTAACTATAAACTTCAAAACCTTTGATCAACCAATCCATGATGAGTACTTAAAAATGTCAATTTCTGATTTGCAAAAGACTATTCCCACTAATAATTATGTTGTACTAGCACTCGTACATTTCGCTTTAATCATAGTGTTGAAAGGTTCAGAGAAAGGGGAAAATATGATCTTGGAGCATTGTTTAAACTAAAAAAATCATTAAAATTTAATTGTGAAAAGGTGGGACCGTAAACTGATTGAGCCCTTTAGTCTTTGTACGCCTTCACCCACTGAATCTGCAGCGAGCCGCTGCCCTTTTGCTTGAAGTCCTCGTAGACTCCGCCGAAACATTGGAATGCTAAGCCGAGATGAGAGGTATCCAGAGGACGGCTAGTATTGACGCGCTTACCCCAGTGGTATGGCAGGAATCCGGAGAAGGGGAATTTTATTTCCTTAAATTCCTCAGGAGCCTTGAACATTGAAATTAAAATTAGTTATGAAGGGAAAATAGGTTATATCAGATGATACGCAACTGAAGTTACAAAGCCTGTGTGCAACCAACTAGAAATACGACAAAAACTTCCAAACACTAGTACTACAATACTTCGGTCAAAATTATGAGTAAAAATACGCCTTCTGAAGTCTCTGTAGCCAGAAAGTAAAACCATTTGCCGTAAATTGACCAGTTGAAGCATGTTTGCGTGAACGATTTGTTTTTCCCCTTACCATTTCAAACAGCAAATAAATAAGCAAATGGCATTTCTAGGTGAAAACTTGAGAGCTTCTTTAATTTTTTCTATTTATAAAAGGCCAAATTCCCAAACAAACGTAAAAACAAGCATATTTACTGATAATAGAATTCAGGTGCTGTAAACCGAAAACAGGCTCAGTTACATAAACATACTGTCAAGCTATGATGCAGGAGTTAAGTGCTTGAGCGTATATTGGGATGCAATGTACATAGCAAGATGCATAAGCTTTAGAAGGAACTTTCCATTACTACATTAAGGCAGGTTAAAATCTATTTCAGGTAATATTGAACCAAAATAAATTCTTCGGTCTATCCACTGGCAAAAGTTTACAGGGCCTAATTAGTATATAACAAGCAGAAAAGAAATTTATAATTGATTATAAACGCACCTTGAAAGCAAATTCATACGAATATTCTTGTGGAAAGATAACCTTGAAAATTTCATTCACACCAGTCCTTTTAAGATTTATTTTGACCCCATCAAATCCAGAAGCATTGAATTGTCCCTGATAATTAACACCAGCAAAACAGGCACCGTTTGGTAACGGTACTAAATTGTACTCAAATGAAGCTAAATGCATGCCCTAATATACTTATTAGAATTTAGAAAGACTAAAATACATCAACAATAGCATCTTTAATGTCCGCAGTAGAGTTTCCTCCCCGAACTTTGTCAGTTACAGGGCTCCATAATGAATAATCGGCAGACTCCGGCGAAGAAAAGTCAAAAAAAGTGCACACCGTATTATTAATGTTACACATTGCGGTCAGTGACAGCAAAGACTTGAGGAAATGCTCTATCAAAAGCATGAATGATGAAAGGAAACAAAAAACTGGCCAATTCACTCTGACTTTCAAAGCTATTTGAGTAGCCGCGACATGTTTATATGGCTTGACCTGGCGACCTTGCTGGAAAATTTATGCATTCCAACAAGTTAAAACAAATCAAAGGAATAGTTTCTTAAATAATGCAAAACCATTACTAATTTTTAGTAGCTAGATTTTGGTCTGAAAAACTAGAATCATTGGCTCAATCACAGAAGCGAAACAATATACTTTAAATAGATTACAATTACAGTTTTACATTTCTGTGAATGATATTATAGCTGTAGCGTGCATTGCTGCTTATAGTAGATTTAGTTCAAATTAAAAAATTAGAACAATTTAGATTTTTAATAGCCTAATGCCAAATTGTAATTCATGTTACTTGCAATAGTGTAGCCACAGCACAAATAATCTAGCATTCATTTGAAATGCAGTCATCCATTAAGCCAACTCGAAATACAGTCATTACAAGATACAGCGTTCATCTAGATTCTAGATATAAACTGTTGACATAAGTGTGTTAGCAAAAATGCTGTTTGTGATTCTGATAATGAAATTAAATTAACTGATATAAAATATTACTTTACATCAATCTGTCGGTGCTTCAAAAATGAATAAATTTACTAGCCACATTCGAACGAATTAAACACTGAAAACTGCAGTGCCGATCATTGTCTCCTAGTTTACATTCTTAGCAACGGCAATACCATTTTATACGTGTCTTTTAACAAACCTAACAGTTTTGGATTTGTGGGCCTGACATGCAGGTGTGCATAAATTGAATGAAAAACAGTCAGAAAGAGTATTGGGATCTGAGAGGTACTGGTAGTCAAACTGAAATGCGAACAATGTAGAGTACTCTTATATCCAATCTCATGTCTACCGAGATTAAAAAATAGGCTAGACCAGGCTTGAATGAGTCTATCACCGATTCTTTACGGGGCATAATTTAGTGCTGATCTTTTTTTGTGCTAGTTTTAGTCTCTAAGTTATATGCTTCGATTTACCAACATTCCATAGTTCGTTTGCATAGGAAAAACTTAATTAGTAACAGGGTCGGTGTGCAAACGTTGAAGTCCGTTTCTCAATCTGTCACTGCTTGATCTGCGGATTCCGCCTTGATGGATGTCTTTGAACCTGGGTGCAAAAGCACGAAACACCAACATATTAACAATAAGTTGAAAAAACTCCATGACGCTTCAAATTCACTATTATAGGCAGAATGACTTACACCGACTTTTCAGTTCATCTTCAAAAAATGGTTTGAACAATACCAGGAGGGATTTTTGTTGTCGCACCGTTATTCGCAGGTCATTTTATGATGTCCTTCCACATTATACAGAAATATTTATTTGAATAGCTCTCATAATGCTGCATAAGTTCAATTTCCTGGTTTACTTTTTAATTAAACTAAAGCCTGTCACTATTTTTCATTGATACTGCATTTGTGTGTCTAAATTATGTTCCATTTTAAAATTAATATTTATTTCCTTGACTATGCGCACGAAAGTGACATTGATTGAAAATGAGAATAATAATTTAGTTTTTCCATTCCGTATCAATAGGGCTCAAATTAAGTTCGAACAGATGTTCCATAGTCGAATTTGCATCCGTTTCAAAATGAGATCATTCGGCAGCGCCTTTCCTGCTTAAAATCTTTTACAGCATAAGCTATGGCTTTTGATTTACTTGGTTACCAATAACTACACTTCCTACATTCAATTAAATTGAAATTTAGCCGGTTTCTATGATCTTTCACGACTTAAGAAGTAAGCCGTATGACAAAATCAGTCTTGGCATTTTGTTAATGTCAGGCATTTAAGATTAGGAGTTTGTCAAGGATCTCACCTTAATTTTTTTGCCATTTTGTGTATCTAAAGGTAGCTACATATTCTTTAAAAGTCTTTGTTTGTTCACTGCTGATGAAAAAATAGGCATTTTCAAATTACAAGATGACAGTTTTTGTTTAAATGTGGCAATGAGTTTTGTACCACGCAAGTCGGGACTAGGAATCTACCACTGATATTCTCTGCACATGTAGTCTCCAATCACCCCAAGGTTGCTGTGTTATAGTAACCTGTTTACGCTACTCAGATAACCAAGAAGACACATGTAAAATTTGTAGTGTTTTTTCACGTAACTTTTGTTGTTTTATTAGACTGACTTCCGTTAGAATACTGTTAAATTCACCCCTCTGCAGATAACTCCGTAAATAACAGCAATGGCTTAGACCCAAGCAAACAACCACGATGGAAAGAAAAAACATTAAAAAAAGATTTGCAACATAAAGAAGTTCACGTGTTTTTCTAAACGGTAAATATTACTACATAAAACGGTGTAAATAGTAAATGTATACGGAAATCCACATGCTTACCGATGTTTTAACGGAAGTTAGCATGGTAAAACAAAGAGTTAGGGAAATAACTTGACAACTGTTACAACCAATGACAACTGTTCATTAGATAGCTCAAAGTAGTTGTGTTACAAGCACAAAGGTGTGTGAAATCAATTGGTCTCACAGGGCTGAATTGGAGGCTGTGTCGGAAATTTTCGCAACCGGGTTGATGGACGTGAATCGATACGATTCACCTTACTTACTTCAATTTTCACTTTTTTATTCTTGATGTTTTAAAAACGAATTTGAGTGATGCTAAAACTAATCCTCGTGCTTCCATTTTATCATTTTGAAGAACTCGATGACGCTTAAGTGTTTCAATTGGTCGAAGCCGTCAAAACTATGTACTTCTTACCTATCAGGTGGCACCACACGTACTCATGCCTTTTCTCTAAGCAATGCTTGACCACTCATGCAAGTATTGCTTATTAAATATGCGATAAATAGTGCTTATTGGTCACAAATTATTTGTTGTGGGCCCTAGCATGTGGTCTTGAACCACGCCGGGCCACTGAGTTGAATCTGGCTCGATTACGCCTCCCTGAGGAAGAAGAAGACGGAAGAGGACGTGGACACAACCGTTTACTTCAGAGCTCTCAACCAAGTTGGTGTCGTTGTGTAGTTTGCGGCGTTTGCTCGTGTGCATTTATAGCTCAGATGTGTGAAACTATATGAGCCGTAAATGTGCTAACATCGCAACCTATTTGTGGAGATATTCCAGGATGGGCGTTGGCGCCAATGAGGGGGAGTTGAGGATCCGTGCGGCTGACGACATGCCGCAAAAAGAAGAACTTTGTATCGGAGGCCGGAGTGACCGGATTAACGAGAGTGAATCTGAGACCGCAATCCTGTTAATTCAATCGATAAAATATGGAAGGATTTTAATATCCTGATGGGTAAAAATGCAAATGAACTTGCCAAAACGCCAATGAAGGTATGAAGACGACTGATGTGAGTGCAGAGCTATCGTCTGTTGAGGCAGGTTAGGTAACGAAGCATAATATCCAGAAAGAACCAGATAACATTGTTGTTTGATCGACATCAAAACCAATTCTGTGCATGGGGATGCTAGTCGGTAAAGGAAACAGTTAAAACTTATGATTTACTCAGCAGAATAAAAAAAGTGGGTAAATGGGCGTCCATGCGCAAGACATCTTACGGGAAACAAATTACAGAACTTGAGGATGGTTTACTCACGTAAAAGCCCTGGTCGCCATAATGATGTACTTGTCTTCTCCGGACGTGTGTCCTATTTGTTACGGAGACCACTGGTTTTTTGGTGCTATAATTTTGCACAGACGTGGATTGGGGTACATGCATGCAACGATTTATGACCTAGGAAGAACAATGAGTTCGCACGTGTTTGTTTACAACTTATGATGTCCTTCAAGCCAATTGGGTGACAGCTCTCGTTGTACCAGGCTCAAAGGGCAGTCTATAGTAGCTGAGTTTAGCACTACCTTACATCCCTCAAGTTAACAGACCGCAGCAACCCGAGGAGGTGGAACAAGAGGCGACAGACAGTGGCCACGACCGTTTATCAGTGTCACACCAGTCAAGCGGTTCTGTGTGCGTGAGAAACTGGCGAATGCTAATAGAAGCCAACAACAAAAAAGGTGAGTCATTGGTACAGCGGGCCAGCTCACACGCATCTCCCACGCGGGGTGGCTGTGTGGTGAACTTTTACCAAACTAGCTTGAGTAAAGCTGGTTCACGAGTTGATCGAACGTCATCGATTGTCCCAGTCTCCTTGTTCATCCAGATACATCTGGTGTGGTTGACGTCTCAGCAGTGTCCACTTTAGATCGGACTAATGCAACAACATCGGGAGGTAATGACCCCCAAGTCCGTAGTCAAGCTTGAGGAGTCTTTTGTGTCCTCTCCATTCCGAACTAAAGCGGTACCGCGAGGATAAAGCCAAATCGAACGAAGTCTATACAGAGACAATCGATGACGTTCGATCAACTCGTGAATAAGCTTTACTCAAGCTCGTTAGGTAAAAGTTCACTTCAGCTGCCAATCCACTACAAGTTTACGACGTAGACACCAGTTGACGTGGTGGGTGCTTGCATTCAGTTCATTGTGCGAGTGTAAAAGTACTAGGTGTGTTATTGGACAGAGGTCATTTTAATTGGCAAGAGATTGAGTTAACTGACGGCTAGAATCCGGCGAAGATGGATACTTGTGTTCTAATTTTCCTGGTCCCCCTGTGCAGGGGAAACTCCTATCCCATTCGATCGATCCTCGATGCCCACAGCAGTGTTTTTGGGCTATTGTAGTTTGGCGACGTATAAGGACGCTGACATTTTGGACCACCCGAGTCTCAGCCAATCCTCTGTCTATCTGCGATCCAATGGCATATGAGGAAGATATGCAGCCAACCAGAGAAGGACACGAATGGGGAGCAGCATGTAATGAGCAGCGTTGCCAGCGTGGTGGACTCGGATGGACGGCGTCTGACGTGTGGTTCTGGCTTGTGACTGGTCTTCATACTAGGGCTCGGGTATTCTACACTATCACTTTATTTTCAAGTAGATCTCTATTTGCAGTTGGAGACGCCTGCCACTATCCGATCTATCGTTTCCACTTCTTGCCATGAGGATGCATCAAAAATACATGACGCAGGAGTTAGTTTTCTTTTTGGAATAGCAACGTTCAGCAGCGCCATGGTCCACTGAAAACGATAAAATGCAATCTCTCTGTGTACGTGGATCCTCCAACGATAAATTGCCACTTTGATGGGCAGGCTTGCGTTTTCTTCTTAGGTCGTAGCTAAGATTATCTACAAAAGATGTGCAACACACTGAGAAACACTCTACAAACCCAGGAAAAAAATCAGGAAGATGTTTAATTTTTGCAAATTCCCTGAACAAACTGGCTAGCATAAACAAACCTCGCACTGGTGAGACGCACGCGCCGACCAATGAGAGTTATCGGCGCCCTGTCCGAGAATATAAACCGTTTTTCACGGAATGTGCCATATACCCGGATAAGCCATGCAATCTTACCTAGGCCTTGCTGTACTAGCCTCACGTAAGTAGTTTATTCGTAGCCTAACTGATTTCTATATGTTGTTTGTACGCGGGATCGTTTAACTGTTCCACTTTATCGACAATGTATGGGCACGCAAGTGACGGTTTTTCTGGTTCAACGAAGTAGTCACACCACAACAGTTTTGGCGCAATGATTTAAAACTGTAACCTTAGCAGTGTCTTAAAATCACGCCTATTTAAAACAAACAGCGAATCAGATTTCGTGAAATATTTTAGAACCACGTATTTAAACAAGGCGCATTTTTACTTGTCTACCACATTTATGAGTCCACTGACCCCGAGGTTTTGTGGCACATTTTCAAACGTTAAATCTTTTGGTTAGCTTGGGATTCACTCAGCAGATCGTGGGCTCGGAAATTAACTTGCAACAAAATCGTCAAAATGGAGTGATGGCATCTCGACACGGTCTTATCTTTACAGGCATCCTCTTTGTAACATTGACAAATTGTCACCGAATCGTAGTGCTGGGAGTGCCCATAGTATGGCATCTTACTTCCAGTGAAATGTTCACTAAATGTGCCTTCGTAACGGGGCATTTACACAAACGTAACTTTTCAGTACTAACGAAGGGCATTTACATTTGGTATTGTAACTTCTACGTCGACGGGCATGCTTTCCTCGTCACCGCAACCTCTCTAAATAAAAATTAATCGGCAGAACCACCTGCGGAGGGCATTCAGAAGCATGCTGTGGCTTCACAAGCAGGAAAGCCATGCACAGCAACCTCTTATTTTGGCTAAGCGGTGTGTCTGTGGAAAATGCTGGCTGAGTTGTAGCTTTTTTGTGCTCCCAAAAGGGCGGCAGGCTGCAAACTCCCACTTGAAGACTTACAACCAAATTTCTAACGTTCCAGCGAGACTTCGGTCTTCGTGTCTTGTGAAGGCTTCTAAGAGCATTGCCCTGTCAGGAGCACACTTTTCCTCCCACATTACAAATTTTCTGTTCCACCAGCAACACTTGTTTACAGTGCAAAGCAAACAGAGCCTGGTACAAACGCGTCAATTTTAATTAAGCGAGAATTTGTTTACTGTTTTTTGTTTTCAGTTGTTAATGTGAGCCTCAGTGACGATGTGAATTTCCTCAACTCGCCGTATTCACTTAAAACCGTCATCGAGCAGAATCTGAACGACCAGATCAACCAAGAATACGAGGCATTCTACTTGTACGAGCAACTTGTGAGTCTGTACTGTGTTTAAAAAAAAGCCATTTGAAAATTTACCCACTTTTCGCACCGTTCACTGCCCTCGTCCTAGCGTCCTGTTAATTACAACACTTCGGAGTTAGATCGGATGACTAAAAGCCATCCAGTAAGGATACTGAGATGGACATATTTTTCTCAGCATAACGTACGCACTGCTAACAAGGCTGTTCCGAGCTAGACACTGATAAACAATGACAAAGCACACAGGTCATTTTAATTCACATGGTCACATAAGTGATGTCGTTGTCTGTTTCACTCGCTGATACCGAGTGGCAGTTAGTTGTGCCAACGGAAACGCAATAACGCATTTACGTAAGCCATAAACAAAGACTTACACACCTGGCCTGGATGTTTGCGTGTTTGGATCTGTTTACATAGCTGTCGAATGCCCTAAATAGCCAGAGCTAGTGGTTCATTAGGAGACTTCGTCTTAAGGGTGCTAGAAGCTGACACCCAAACTTTCATGCGGCTTCGTGTGGTACATTGCCAAGTTACACAGCAAACGTGGCAACAGATAGCATTTCAACGTAATAGAAGGACTCCTGCGTTGTCAGAGGTCCCAGTCAAAGTCACTTGGACGGGTTCAGACGAAAATATTCAGACCCGAGGCTGGTTGCACCACAGGCAAACGACCTGGATTCTATCTATCAACCCTGCACTAACGGAATTAAATGGAACCAAACCAGTGCGTTAGACTACTTCAAAGCACTGCCGGCATTATGGTTTATTTACCACTTATATGAATGTGTAGTGCCTCGTAAGACATCATCGGTATACACAGTTTAACCCCAAAACACCCTCAGTTTGAATCGCCTACCAAATGATATCACGTTTGGGAGAACAGCCAGCCGATCTAGTTTGGTCTAGCTGAAATCGTGCGGGCGACAGCATGTCTGATGTCGTTTGAGAGGCGCCTAGTGTGGACTTTGTGCGTTAATCAAAACACCAAAAAGCATTCTGACCATCGTTCCGTCTCGATTGTTTTTACTAGGCAGCCTACTTTTCAAGCAGCGAAAAGGCGCTTTTCGGATTTGCCGCCTACTTTCGAAATGCCGCAGATGAGGAGAGGCAGCACGCCCACGAATTTACCGAAGTACTCAACAAACGAATGGGTATTGTTACACTTAAAACCGTAAAGGTAAGTCTCTAATGGGGGCAACTCGAGGTTCCTAATCTAACACCGATTTTCACACTTGTCCTCCGCCCCAAGCACTACTGACCCTCTTCTTTGCCTGTGCGACATTGATTTTTTGCACTCCTGACTCCAAATAAGCTAACTCACTGGGCACTTTGCTAGGTAGCTTAACAAAATGATGCGTGTAAAAGATTGCGGCGACCAGCAAGCCAGCACAGTTAGCATTCGTGAGCGAACACAAATCAATCGATTTTTTGTGAATACACTGTTGTGAACGGACAGCCACCGCGCGTGAGTGCTGCGTGTGTGCTTGCCTGACTGGATCAATGGCTCATCCTCTTTGTTATTGATTTTTTGTTAGCAGTCGCCCGTAACGCGCGCGCATCGATACGCACACAGAAGTTATTTAATCGATTTTACTCGACTCGACTTTACTTGACGGGCGTGATGCGAATAAACGGTCGTGTTCTCTTTCGATTCGGTCTTCTCTTTTCTCGAATTGCGACCGGCTGTTATCTATAGGGTTTTGCGGTAGTGCTAATTTAGGTCCCAACAAGATCTTAGCTGCTTGCGAGTAGCAGGCGTATGCAAGGGGACGTGATCTGTTCACGAAATTGATCAGTAAAGCTCGAGTGATCCATAAGATTGGAAGTGGTGGACTAGCTAGACAGACGTCGGTCAGAAGGTGAAGTGATTTGTTTAAACACGCCATGCGTAAGCGGAAGTGCAAGACTTGAATTTTACACAGAACACTACACAGTCAACTTTAAGGCATTAATTTGGCTTTTTTTCCCGCCAAAGATTCCTCTCACCACTCCGGTCACCTGGAGTTCACCTGTAGCTGCTTTGAAAGCCGCACTGGAAAAGGAAATTGAGGTCTCCAGATCAATGAACGTCATGTACAAGAACGCCGAACAACTGAATGACCACCATGTAAGATGACTATCAGTAGGTACTTGGAATTGAAACCATTCTCATCATAGAGGCGGACATTTTATTCCGCTCAATTAAACAAAATAGTTTCCTGGTTAGTAAATCGCCCAAATTTCACATCGAGGTACAAAATTAAATAATGAAATTACAAACCTGAATGCATAGCTAATGGCCAGTTCTTAAAATCCAATCCATCAGTGAATATTTTATTAAGCAGTACAACAGCGGGGGAGCCTACTGAACTTGTCTAACTGCCAAACTTTTGTTATCAGGTTCCCCTGGTTTGATTGGGTGACTTCAATGAAAAGCGACGCAAATAAATTTTAGGAAATCGTTAATTTAACATGGCAGAAGTCCTGCCCGCGTAGAGTGAATATTTGACACCGAAAAAATGAAGTCAACTTTCAAGTACAAAGAAAAGAATAACTGTAGTCATTTTGCACTCATATTCTACTACACGGTCTTGTAACAGAGGCAAGACAGTTATGTGTAATTGCGCTTTGCATTTATCAAGATGCAAGACTTCTTGGATCACTTCGTGCGGGAACAGATCAACGCAATCTTCAAGCTCAAATCCCTCATCACCCGACTGGAAGGCAAAGGCGACGCCGTCGAATACCTGATAGATCAGGAGCTCATGAAAAAACCCTCAATGCATGATTAGCTGAACGCGGTCTGTGCGTACCCTAATCTTAAACCGGTCCTCATTTCCGTATTGATACATTTGTGGAAAGCATCATCTACTTAATTTGGTTTCAGTAGTCATATTTTATACAAATCATGGACTGATTGTCTTTCCAGAAAATTTTATCCTTTACTACATAGCATATCAATTCTGGTAAACTCTTTGGGGTTTCTAGTGTTACGTAGTGACAGGCCATTTTATAAATCAGTACCTGATTCCTTCTTTCTTTCAGAAATGACTAAATCCACCGCCCTTAACCATGACTTACGGAAATTCAACCAGAAGAAAGTGATCGGCGACACTTTCTTCTCGCCATACTAACTCCCCCATTGCACATTATTGTAGCAAATCATTATAAAAATTTATTATTGTGTGATTGCGCGTGTACATAAAATCAGGAGGAATACGAAAACACGTGGGTGTATGAGGAAGGCATTCCTTTCACACAATTACGTCCAATCTGTCAATTCTGATAAAATAGAATAAAACAAGAACCTTAAAAACATTCCGTCCACAATTATCCCCACCAATCCGAGCATGGTACAGAGGGCGTTTCGGCTGAAAGCAAAACGCATTAATAAGAGCACAGACAACGCGCAGCTCCAAAATAAGCCTTCCTACTCATTTCGAGATGAGTACTACGATTAAAAGATGCGCCATAGTATCGGGATAAAATGCACAGGTGACTGAAGAAGATGCACCACACGAGTAATTAGTCGTCACCCCACATTGCTCGCTGGTTCCGCTTCTTTTGCAGCTTCCTCTCTGAAAGTGAGAAGAAAAGGGGGCACGTTTTATAGCTCTTTTTCAAAGGGAAATACAAGGGGAGAGACGATAGCGCGATTTCAAACAAGAGCAGGGCTTTTTTGTTGCATTTCCGTTTGGATTCACACAGCTAAGTTGGCGATCACTGATTAGGCCCAAGTACCTACTCGGCGAGTTTTCATTGGTCCACTGGATGGTGGTTTGTGCTTTCACCACAAAATACTAACCCTAGGCAATGCGCAATTTCCTTAATTTGCCTCAATGAGTACGATTCTAGTTATACCAATCACAATCCAAATAACAATGCAAGATAGGCAATAATTTGGCGAGGCTAAATCGTGAAAGTCGGTAGAAATAACGTTGAGTGAGCTGTGAACTAGTCTCCATGATTGATGTAATCAAAGCTCAAATCGAGGTGGAGAGTATCGCTCCAACTTTAACTCTGAACGAACACGTCCCTTGCCTCTAGCAACTAGGACTTCGAAAGGGTTTTGAAGTAAAAACATTACAAGACATCCTAAGAAGAATGGTACGGCGCAAAATTTAAGCCCGAGACTAGAAAGCAATCGATCGATACAATGAGGGCTAAGATTGCCAGGACTAGAGGGGTGTAAGGGGGACAAAAAGTGGCACCTAGAGCCTCCTTGCGGGCCTGAAGAGCGGAGGGGGAGGGTTTCGGAGCTGGCAAGCCGAGGTGGGAGGAAATGAGGCGATTGGCAACAGTGCTGTCGCAGGGCGGTCTCTTCTTGTACGGCAGAGCCCAGTCGCCAGGCGACTTGGCGATCTTCCACTTACTGGCTACTGAGGCTTCTTCAACTGGACGTGCCTAAGGCAGTTTAATAACTGGGGTCAAAACAGGTGCGTACGTCGGCTTGAATTGTGGCCGCGTTTTTAGCAGAAAAGCATGGATTTTATGAGCATTCAAATGATTCAAACCACGACCCTTGTGGAGGAGAAGACAACGTGATTCACAGTGCCATTTTTGCCACACAAACAATACGTCTACGAACCTTAACAACGATGCCAGTGATTCTCTGGAGGGCTCTTTCTGCCGTTGAACTGGAGGAAAACACAGCCAAACAATGACTGTCGTCCACCCATTTCAACACGTAACCGCCCTCGTCGAAGTCGCGCAGCTCCGACTCCAGAAACATCGTCTCTATGCTCGGCGAGAAGCCGTACAACTCAATTATGTGGCCCAACTTGTCGTAGTCAAGGTCTGGTTCCTGATGAGAGCTGCTTGAAGCACCGACGGGCACCTTAACAACCTCTTTTGGTTTTTCGGCTGAGACCAGGAGGCCGAAGTCCTCAAAACTAGACTCTTTAATAGTGAGTCCTTTGAACGTTTCGGTGAAGGGATCGTAAGAGGCATTTTCGGTGACTTCGTGACCAAACTGAGGAGGTTTGTTTGAGGCACCGACAGGGACCTTAACAACCTCTTGTGGCTTCTCACCTGAAACCAGGAGGCCAAAATCTTCAACATTAGACTCGCTAATCGTGAGTTGCTTAGATTCGACGAAGGGATCGGTAGGGGCGTCCCGAAAGGTTCCGTTATCACATTGAGGGGGATTATTTGAAGCACCGATCGGGACCTTAATAGCCTCTTCTGCTTTCTCGGCCGATATCGGGGGGTCGAAATCCTCGACACTAGACTCGTTAATAGTGAGTTGTTTAGAAGATACGGTAAAGGGGTAACTGGAGGTATTCTCAGGAATTCCGGTATCAGGTTTTGGTTTCTCGCATGAAATCAGGAGGCCAAAATCGTCAACACCAGACTCGCTAGAAACGGGTTGTTTTGGAGACTCAGTTAAGGGATCGGTAGAGTCGTTCTCAGAGAGTTTGTTATCACACTGAGGAGGGCTATGTGAAGGACCGACAGGGACTTGAATATCTTCTGGATTCTCTACTGAAATCTGCAAGTCCACGTTCTGAACACTTGACTCACTAAGAGTGAGTTGTGTAAGAGGTTCGGTAGGGAGAACGCCGGAGGCGTTCTCAGAGATTTCGTTCCCACAATGAGATGATTTCGGTTTCTGGGTCGAAATGCGATCACGAAGATTTGGAGGAACATAAAGTTGGATTGGAGGTCGCTTTGAACGCCGTGGTTCAGTAGTGGTAGCCATTCACCTGACCAAAAGTAGTAATGTTGCAGGTCACGTAGAATCAAGGACATCAACATTGGAGGATAAGTCTTGAAGACTAATAATATTAGCTGGTCTATGCAAACATGAAAGCAGTTTTCTAGCAGCGCCATGGGTAGTTAGTTATAAGACCAGTTACCAATGGAACTCAATAGTTAATTAGCAGAATACAAGTTAATCCGAAGATCTTGGCAACAGCAAAGCAATAGTAAGGCTTTGGTCAGAATTTTTAACATAAGGTCATCAGAATAGCTTTAATAACGTGCTCATGATGTGTTACTAAAATAAAACAGTACTTTTGATACAGATCATGGTTAGTTAAGTCAAGCACAAATTGGAGTTTACACAAGACTTCCAATTCCGATCAACTAAATTAAACTACCGGTCATGCATCGATAAATGACGAGCAGAGAAAATATTATCCGTCATCACACATGGACACAGCACCCTAGAATTCTAATAACTCAAGTCAGGAGAATGAAACAGGACACGATTAAAATAACTTCCTAGAAAATGATATGTAAAGCCAATAAAACACGAAAAATAATACCTGCATGCAAATATAAAGATTATGCAATTGAAGGCTGATTTCATAACGAAAAAGTAGCGGTTTCACCAACAAAGATTTGTAACCTTGGTGACGAATTCAGTTGCAAAAATTCAACACTATCTGCCATGAATAATCACAAGCGTAATCTTATAAAAATTCTAGCAGGAAATCGGCAGAGTAAGAAATATAGTTACAGTAAATTAATGCACGCATTGGACTATATTAAAAACTTTCTTGCTTATGTAAAGAGATTGTAAGTAAAATCCAAGAAGGTGGAAAGAAAGGCTGAAATTAAGTGACAAAATAGAGCCACAAACGGATAGACACCGGACACAAAAGTCGACATCGAATGCACCAATCAGTTGATTTTCATTTTCATTGGTCCATATGCAATTGAACTTTATTTTCTTATAAATTATCTCGAGAATGGCAAATCACTCTTGCATTTATTTAATAGCCTTTGCGAAATTCAAAAAGTAAAAAATATGTTTGGCTAATTTTTTGCACTAGCAATTAGTTGTTTGAATGCCCCATATAGAACGCAGTGATTATGAACAGGTCTGGGTACATTGCCGCACGTTTTTGGTCACGGCTAAGTCCTTTGTCTTTTGGAAACTCTGTCTCACAATCGATCTTCAAGTTTAATCGTCGTTCTTTTTCTTCAATCAAAGATGTTATAGTGGACCCCAAATCGGCTTCGGTGAATGGAAATGTTGATATCGTTAACTATAGTCTTGCCGGTTTGTTTATCGTTGGCTATAACGAACATGGATTTATGTTGAGCAACGGGGCCAGCGTTTATGGACCAATGGCCTCCTTTCCACAAAACGCATTTTCTTGGAATGTAATGTGTTTTCGTTACGTTCAATAATGTTGTAGATCAATTCAGCCAAAGACATCAACGAGGACTCACTCTCCTTGTTTAGAATTCTATGCCCAGAAATCGGTAACGTCTCATAGACACAGATTGCATAAATACATCGGTTTCTAATAATTTTTTTATTTTAGAGGTCCTTGTTATCGGCAAAGGCGGAGCAAATGAACAAATCGACCACAGAGGGGTTCTTGATCTCTGCTGGAAACACAAACTCGGTGCTGAAATTCTGCCTACTGTGAGTTTCATGTGTTCTGCTGTTTTCTTGTTAATCTTTGCCTCATAAAACACCGTCTCTTTCTGTCTTCCCTGAATCACACTACTTAAATATCTCAAGTTTCGCTTTTTAAAAATGCTTCTTTGCCGTTTTTATTGAATTATCTATACCTCTGATTACCTTTAGCCAATCGCCATCGGAATCTTCAACTTTCTCAATTCAGAAGGACGCTACGTTGCAGCAGCCTTGATTCCCCCAATTAGCCCTGATTTGTATGATGTTGACCAACGTCGTCTAAAACAGCTGGAAGCTTCCCGAGACCTTCAACTTTCCATTGAAAATAAACCCAAGATCAAGAAGCTCCCACAACTGAAATTCCCACGTCTTTTGAAACCATCCCCTGAAAGCACTGATCGTAAGGATAAGTAGTTCCACATGTGCAGCTTTTAAATTCTGTAGAACCGTATTTGTGAATATATCTACTAAACTAAGACCAGAACTTTGTCTTTTGTCTTTACGCGAGTGTGTGTAAGCGATGTTTGGCGCTTTCTGTTTAATGTCTTAGCCTGTTTGTTGCAATTCAATTTAAGCTTTCTGGCAGATGCTGGTTTTACCTCGAGGTCCTAATGCATCAGATGCTCGACAAAAATCTTATAGTTTATGTGGTACGTTGAATGCAGTGTCTGTTACCATTTGCAACAACGATGACTGGCTAAGCAGTTATTTTGTTCAGCCGCCGTAGATATAATTAATTTTTATTGGGAAGTAGTTCGGGTTAGGTTTATGAAAGCGTCGCACAATGCTCCGATCTCTGCCATGCATTCGCTATACAAGCCTATTTATTTTAACGTAGTTGTAAACAGACGATCTGAGAACCTACAGATTTTGCTTTTACCAAATCCTGGACGCGTGTTTTCTACTAAATTTACTCCTAATTGATCTCCACATTCAACAACTTTCTGTGCAATGGTCTATCGCTCCACTGTTTTCCGCAAATTCTCCAGGCCATGATTCGCCGTGTTGTGCCTTCTGTTCAAATGTCTTTAAACCACTGGCGGTTCTTGTCAACCTCCAAAAGGCCGGCACTCGATCAGACAGATGAGGAAAGGCTTATTTCCCCATCTTTGAAAAAATTTTTCAACCGGACTTCCATTGCCATGGAGATGCCGAATATGACACGGAAATACGCGGAGTCAAACGCCTCTCTTATTCCCAGTTACTTTCTTGGCAAGCTTCAGCTGGTAATTACAATGAATTTTAGATTCATTAGCTCCCTTGTCGGTTTATTGAGTTACTACGGCGATTCAATAATTTACTTCGTGACTTGTGAAAATGCCCTCTGATGAAGTGTTCTCAGTGATGTTTGGTGCACTGGACAGTACTTTGGTTAGTGTGTTTCTAACAATCTATGCAATCATAATTTGTAGCTTGATTTGATGGTTACCTCAAATTATCAGTTAAAGTAAATAAGCATATTTAGCCCCTATGATTATTGACGGCAAATACCTTATTGGTCTCTGGTACCAACTAGAGGTTTGAATTTTCATTTTTTAGGAACTCTTAGAGTATCCGGAGCTGGCGACCAGGGAAGAAGTAACAAAGATTCATTCCCTGTTTGGCATCGTCGAAGACTTCGCCATCTCAGGTACTTACCTTGCCACAAGGAAAGTTAATGTGTCAGTTTCTTGGGAGTTGAAACTCCAATCGACCAATTTTGCTTTCTATTCCCTCCTCTAGTTGATAGCAAGTCTATCGACCGAAGTGGAGTCATTCCACCGCAGTTGATGGCAAGTTGTAAGGAGATGGGCTTGTTCGGCCAGCGCGTGGACCCAAAGTTCGGCGGGCTCGGCATGACGGCGCTTGAATCGACGGTCGTTGCCGAGGCCCTGGCCTACGACGCCTCACTGTTTGCTACTTTAACTTGCCATGAAGCATTGGGAGTGAAGGTTAGTCTACCCCGATGCAAATATCACCTTAACACTGAATTCCAACGAGTGGACCCTCTAGGTGGCCTTTTTATTGTTGTAGTCTCTGATGTGTTGAAGAAATGCAGTAATGACCTAATCCTTCCGTAGTTCGTGGAACGCCATTGATAATTCATTTAGGGCCAGGCTCTTAACTATCCCTGCATAAGGTTGGTACGCGTTTCATCGTTTCTTATACCTTGGAACAACTTACAATGGTAGGCACGCGGCTAGAGCGATCTTGGTCTCTGTAGTGGTCGGAATCGAGTCGATCCCCTTATCTTCTTTTGTTGCGCACGTTAACGACGCAGATTGCACTATCCTGTAGGGTCTCCAAATGGTTGGGACAGATGCGCAGAAAGAAAAGTACCTTCCTGCTTTGGCGTCTGGCGAGAAAATGGGCGCCTTTTGTCTGGCCGAAGTGAACAGGTAATGCATTCTTTTCCATGTACTCACACAAGGGCCTGTGGTATTTCCTCAACCATGATCAAAATCGCGCCCAAGTTACCAACGTACGTGTTGTGATTTGGATAAATGAGCGCGGGTTGTTGTAAACCTGGATCGCAAGGTGCAGTTTAGTATTCATTTAATGTAGCTTTAAATTCACGTGATTGGGAGACGGCTCAAATCAATCTTTCCGATTGTTGAATCTCACTTGCCCTGTGAGTTTGTACGTTGAAGGTGCAAACCAGAAGTCAACAAAACAACACAATGCACTAAATCGGCTTTCAATTGTTAAGCGTTTAAGGTCGCGTAAAACACGTCCGAGCCTGCTTTGAGTGAGAAAAGCCAATGATTTCTTGCGCTAATTATCCCGATCAATTCATCTCCCCATCGTAACCTGGGGTTTTGGCACTAAACTCGTGTGTATGACTGTATTCCTTTGAAATCCAAGGACCCGTACCGTTGAGAGGGTGCTTTGGCCTGCCAAATCTATTTCAGCTCTTAACGATGAGAATCTTTTAAATTCAGTGGGACCGACGTTTCATCACTTCTGACACGGGCTTCACTCAGTGCAGACGGCAAGTTCTACATCCTCAATGGCCGAAAGGCCTGGGTTGCCAACGGCTCTCGCGCTGACCTTTTCACTGTATTTGCTCGCACCTCGATACAAAATGATAAGGTTCGTTGTGGTTTTTAGCCATTTTTGTATGTAAAAGAAATCGCCTTGTTTCTTTCAATGGCCATGCCGCCATGGTCTAATTGAGGCATGATTTCGTCCGGTTTCAAGTCATTTAATCACCAACTTCTTGATCCCATTTTGACAAACGACCTCCTGTCAGCCCATTTCTCAAAATTTCCGTCGTCATCGAATGTCATACCTCCAACAGTCGATTTCCTTGGTGAGTAATCGAGCGCTGTAATGCTGTAAACTAACTTCGTTAAATGGCGTAAGTGGGAGGCGTAGAGGTGCAGGTCGATTGTCTGATTCCGCACGCGAGCATTTACGTAGTGGACGTGCCTGTCACATTCCCACCACACACAAATCATTATCTTGACCTTCTTGACTCAGGAGTCGTGAGCGCCTCTTTTCCACGCAAGCAAATCGACCCCAGTTGTGAAGCGTCCATGCTCTTGGTCGTCCGTTAAATCATGTAGCACACACGTTTTCCATCTTTCGAACCTTGTCCACTAACTCCAGGCGCGGACAGTCGGCCTTCTAGTCACCGCGCACGTGCTTGGTCATCGTCCGTGTGGGTTGGTGTTCATTTTTCTTCAACAGCACATTCAAACGATCCACACGAAAGTTAGTCGGTGGCCGGCCTGAACCAGAATTGAGTAGAAAGATGATAACCGCCTGGTCGAGTAAAGACTGCCTTCTCAGGAAATTGTACACTTCGACAAATAGGAGCAAAATAAAGATTTGTAATCGCACTTTTAGGGTGAATCGGAGGAGAAGGTGACAGCGTTCCTTGTTGAGCGAGGCCTTGTCGGCGTGCAAGTGGAACCACCTGTAGAGAAGCTTGGACTTCGTGGTCTCGATCGTAAGCGGCTTCCTCCGTCTACCCTTTATCGTCTCCCGCCAATCCCTTCTCTCCTTAATCATGTTTGCATTTTTAGTCGTCAACGTAACATTCAATAACGTGCGTGTACCGGTGGAAAATGTGCTCGGAGAACCTGGTTGCGGCGCTGAGGTTAGTAGTTGTAAGTGCTAGTGACGACTGGTTTTTGACTTTGCTATCCGACGTTCTCTTAATTAAAACCCAGGATATTAGTTTATCGTGACGTTGTAAAGCACTGAGTCGCTTTTCACTGACAGTCCTTACCCGTAAATCACCAGACAATGATCTGGAAGATCGCATTTTAAGTTCTAGTGTATAGAGAGGTCTAATATAGTGCCAATTTATGCAAACACAGAGATCCAACCGAACAAGCAGGCGATTCCACCATCGATGAGGTGTTTTGGTTTGGTAGTCGGCGGTCCTGCGCCAATAGTGCCAAAGCCTTCCTCGATATCTCCGTACAAACTTAGCTCTGCGTACCTGGAAGAGTTGTCTTGCTAGACGTCTTTAGATCAGAGCTAGCAGGTTTAACCGCGTCGGTAGATGCTGCTTCTCAAACCACCACGTGAACACCGAAAACGGTTTTTTTTGTTCTGCCTTCAAGTTGTCGGCTCAGATAGCTGGTGGAGAACGCTACCTGGTGGGCGGACTGTGCGCGGGAATTTGTCACAACGTGATCGACGCTCTGACGGAGCACTGTGCAATGCGCCAGCAGTTCGGACGTCCGCTGTCCCAATTCGGCATGGTTCAGCGCCACCTGGCCCTGGCGGCGGCAAACCTCTACGCCCTCGAATCCATGACTTACCTCGTAGCCGGTCTCCTTACTGCCCAGCCAAAGCGAGACCTCCGTATTGAGTCGGCGGCAGTTAAGGTACTTGCTGCCTCTCGTAACATGTCGTTTCCGTCGTTGTGTGTCATCTTTTTTCATAAATTCGAGAGAATTTCGACTACACTCATGCTTCCTCATATGGGTTTAATCTAGTATTGGACAAATTGAGATGATCGTGTCCACATCGGTCATCTTGTCAGCTTGTTTACCTGGCCAACTCAAGTGCTTTCCTCACTCAGTTTAACTAATCCTAGTAGGCGACGTGTGCTTATCAGAAGCTATGTGCTGCCGAGCTAGCAGTTACATTACTTTATGCTGAAGTCATCTTCCTACGCAATCTGTCTATAATCTAGAACTTCTTTCTGCTTTTGTCGCCGTAAGCAGAGCCCTCCGAATACCTTAACTCCAAATACCCTTTCTTAAAGGTATTTGCTACTGAAACGACATTGTCGTTGTTAAATGACTGTGCTACCCTCGCTGGCGCGCTAGGCTTCACCGACCAACTTCCTCTTGAACGGTACCTTCGCGATTCCTGGGTACTTGGCTCCTTTATGGTGAGTGACTGCAAACCACCTCACGTCTGTGTTTCAGCAGTTCAGTCAAAACCTCCGTTTTGTTTGCCACACCCCCAAATTAAATGCGTAAAAGTTTGAATTTCACGTTGCTTTCTGTATTTTCATTCCGATTTACTTGCCCGTTACCTCGAAGTATTCACTCAAGTTAATTCATTGCGTGCGAACCCTGGGAAGCCCTGAATTCTATCCTTTCCACAGTTCTTCCTAGTTACTCAGGAAATGATGATGATGATGATGGTTTTTAAAGCTGACCGCACACTTAAGTGAGTAGCGGCTTTCCTACCCAACATCCGTCTTTAATTTTTTTTTGCATTAACAGTATTAATCTGTCCGCCTTACTGTTACTCAAGCCAAAATTACCCCAGCTGGCCGAACACCCAGTACACACACACACACACCGACGGGTGGAATCCGTTGTGGAAATTCTCTCTTTTATTCCTTACTTATTCGGTCTCGTTGAATTTGGCTGAAATTACGGCTGCTGTAGTCGCCATAACTGCCCTAATTTTGCCTATTTCAATCTGTAGGGTGTTAATGACTTACTACGGCTGTACATAGCTGCTTCGAGTCTTTCCATTGCTGGTAGGGAGATGTGTGAGTTTGTGGATAAGTTACGCCGTCCCTACCAAAATAAGCTGTACATCCTTCGAGAAACCTTCCTGAAAGACGTCCGCCTGGCGATGATGCGTCGACGCTGGCGCACTCCGGCTGTGGGGGCTACCCCGATGCCTGTAACAGAGCGAGGCGTGCGTGCCTCCCTCTTAGTGAGGGACCATCTGCACCACAACCTGCGACCTCTGGGTGACAGGCTGTCGCGCGTTGTCGTGCACACTCACGAGTTGGCACGTCAAGCCCTCATTTTGAACGCCAATGTAAGTCTCTCTGAAAAACACCTTTAACTCATCGCTTGACGAGAAACTCCAGATGGTAGAATTCATGAATGTCAAGTCAATTCCAAGGAACCCCCCACATATGCTCGGTAGGGTCGTGGTCGCTAAAAACCTCACTTTCATGACCATCGTATAGCTTTATGTTCATCAATTTACGTCTATTTGTAATTATGCCTTGCGTCGATATTGTGTGCGTTTGGTTATGATTGCGTTACCTTCACGAATGCTGTTTAACCTCGGTTAGAACGTAAACGAAGACCAGTTTTCGCTGCGCCTCTTCTCCGACCTCGCAATCGGCCTTTTTGCCATCACGGCAGTCTTGAGCAGAGCATCCCGAGCAAAAAGCATTGGCATTCGCTATCACAACAACGAGGTGAGTATGAGTGTTCCTTAAGCACTGTGGTTTTGCTCATTAAGAACCCGTGGAGTCTTGTCCCCTCTGTTGTTACCCCTAACTACATTTAAACCGTGGAAGGCTAACATGGGTTTCCGGGCTATCTGTGTTTTAATTTAGTGCGCTGTATTTCCTACTTAGTTGACTGAGTCGCCCTCCGACTTATTTGAGTGTTAATCTCCAATGTTATTTTGTTTTAATTTGCAGCTCGAGTTGGCGGAACTCTTCACTGTCGATATGCTTGACCGCCTGGAGACCATGGTAGCTAATTACAAAACGAAGGATAATCTCTGCAAGCGGATCGCCAGTGTAATTCTAAAGGAGAATGGCTATGCTTCTGCCAGTCCCCTGACCCGTGTTTGGTAGGAAACTTCGAGACAAATATACATGTACTCCTGATGATTAAATATTGCTCTTTAGTTTACTTGTAGTATTTTAATAAAATTTATTATAACTTGAAAACGATAGCATAATTGTATGCGTTCTAGATTTTGGCTCTAGGCGACATGATGTATGTGACTTTTGGTGGCTTGTGTGGGTAATATTGATTTTTTTGGTAGCATTATATCCCCTAACCTAAAACAAGGGCAATAAATATAAGCCATCAATCGGTATTTGCCATACCTTTGGAGCTTAATGCAATCGTTTGAGATGATTAATTGTCCGGCTTGCTAGCGTGCTGTTTGACAATAGAAGTGGTAAGTGGTCAGTCAAGTACGAGGATATTGTTAAACAGGAATAAAACAAATAAAGTCGAGATCCGTAAACAGCGTGAAGAATGCAGACAAGCACCAAAAACATGCTTAACGCCGACGACGTCAGCAATTAAGCACTGTTTAAGGACCCAACAGAATTATTTTAAGGACCAGTGAAGGGCGCCTGACTTCTACTCTGATGCTTAATGGTTTTCATAATATCATCGAGAAAAAAAAGCTTAATTTGTGTAGCCAAATGTAACACATTCCCTGATTTGAGAAATACGAATGTTAAGAGTAAGCTTGAGGCACTTTGCTACAGGATGCCATATGAATATAAATACTGATTCGACGGAATCGAGTTGCCATCATAGAATGCTGCAATCAACCTTTGATTGACATGATGAATCCGATAAAGCTAGCAACTTTTTTAAGTATAATTCGCGAAAGCGAACACAATTCTTTCGATTCACATTAACCGACAGAATCAGCACTTGAGTGGAATAAAAATTTAATTCAACAATATGGAAAATTAATTTTGCATTTTTATCTATTATTTTTCAGGCCTTAGATTGTTCTGAAAGCAATTTTTTTAATTTAAATAATTGCATAATATGGTTAATATTTATAACAGATAAATTTGATTGCGTCTGATATTGGACAGGAAATGGTTGAAATGAAACAGCCTTGCCGAATCAAAATCTTTGTTGCTGTTCTTGTCCATAACCTTGAACTTGGTGTGCACGATTTCAATTAGTGGCGGGCGGTGATTGGTCCAATCCACGTATATTCATACTTGTAGTTTGGCATCGCCATTAGTCAAGTCTGGACGGCGCACTTGTATACAGCCTAGGGATTTTTGTGCGTTGCCATGAGCAGAGGCAAGTCTATTGAAAGCAAGCCACGTAAGCGAAAAATAAGTAATCGTAGTGATGATTCAAAAAACTCAACTTTGCCTTCAACCACCAAAGGTTCAGCCCAACCTCTTCCCGAAAAGCCACGCATTCGTAAAAGTCATCGGAAACATCATGGTAAACTCTTCATGGACCTAGGCAAGGAGTTTCCTCGACGTCTGACGATTTGTGGGGTTGTAATTGTCTTGGTGGTCGCGTCGCTTCATTTTGGTATTCAGCGCTATCAAACTATGCGGAGACAACGTCAAGTGTTTACGCCGATCAATCTGCCTAAGATGATTCCTCAGCACGAAACTAGTCCTGCAGTTTCGCCTGAATTATTCTGGGGAAGCTACAAACCAAATATCTTCTTTGGAATGTCGCACCGAAGTCCCAACTCCACAGTTTTCGGATTAATTTGGGCATCGTCTGATGAGCAATCAGTACACCTTCGTCACCAGTGCAAGCATGCCCAAGGGGTGCAAAGGTGAGCACTTTTTCAGCAAAACTGACGCTAATTGAATTAAATAACTTTATTTTTACTTATTCACTTGCCTCTTTCTCATTAGTTACTTTACATGATTTTTTAATCACCAACGATTTGATCAGCCAAATATCCCAAAAATAATATTAACCAATTTATTTACGTGGAGGTTAATTCTCCCTGTGACATACGAAGGAAATCTAAAATTATTCATTATGCTACATTCTTGGCCAATGGTTTATTAAGTGACGGCGCCTGTACACTGTTTTATCGTGGAAACATTGTTAGTTATTTCAAAATTACGACAAATTATATTTAATGTGTCCTATTTTGCTTTGATCTCATTTCTTTCTATCTTTGGATCTACTGTACAATACACTTAACGAATTTTAGTTCTAAGTGCTCGGTTTTCCCTATTTCACTCCTGTATTAATGTCACCCACGTGTACTGGTGTAATTAACTTATTTCTAAAGAAAACTATGAAAAAGTCGAATATATTTTCCTTTTTAGCTATAATTGGATCGAACATGACGGCCGCAACTACGGTATCGAATCAATCATCAGTGGGAATCATAATATTACGGTTACTTTCGTTAAGCGTTCAAACGTTCCCAACGGGGGTGATTGGTCTGCTCGAATATCCGTTTCAGTTGTTAATGAGGTAAGCGTTGCTCTGCGCAAACTTGTTCATGTTCCACATAAAAAGTCCCCTCCGGTTTATCTCCTACCGATGAGTCATCCCTTATTCCATCCTTCCACTGTATAATTGATGTCGTCATGAAATTTCAGCCTTAATATGACTGCTTCATGCTCTTCCACCTAACTTGACACTGAACGAATCTCTTAGATTTCTTAAGGTTGCGTTCAAGACCGTTTAATCCAGTGTTCGCTCACTACTACTCTGCTAAAAATTATTATAAATTTTTACCTTGTGAAATGCACTGCCTTAGTCCAACTGAGGTGGATTATTCTGCTCTGTCCCGATATCACTGAACACGTGTATGTCAAATAACTAATTTAGTCTCATTTTAACTGTTTTCTGGCTTACCGCATCTATTGACACCGCGTGCTCTTATTAATGTCCAACGTATGGGTTATTTAGTCTGTAGTGTTGTTCGTTTAATTTTTTTTAAAACTGTGCTGGGTCCCGACAAAAGCGAATTAGTTTTTGCCCGTTTCAGTCTTAATTATATCCCATGTTTCTCTTATTCCAATCGCTCATTTTTTTGACGTTTCTTTTAAGTCCCGGCCAGCGAAACCGGTGTCTGTTCTTTTCTACGGATACCTTCCCGACTCCACGAAAGGACGAATTCAGTCGTACACAAGTGGTGGGGAGCTGAAACGTCTGAGAGGTAGGCACTTTAACGTTTGACTCCTAAGCTGCAGTTGCCATTGTCTTACTTCGGCCATAGTTACTACCCACCAATTATCGGTTCAGTGTCAGTTACTAATCAGCCCCTTTTGACGCTTTTTTTTCACCTTCGATGTTGTTCATGTGCTTTTGCAGTGTCAATTCTTTCGGAGTCATGCGGAAATTCAAACCAAGTTCATTTTCTTGATTCTGTCTGGTTCAATCGACGCACTCTTCCAGTTTTAGTGTATCGTGTTTGTCGGGGATAACTAGTGCTCTCTCCCACTGCCTCCATTTCGTGCGAAACGCCAATGGCATTGGGACTTGAGTAAATGTTTCGGTGTTTCGTCAGATGCTGCGTTCGTAGGAAGTTGTAGCCACTTGCCAGCATAGCATGTGCACTTAACCACAGAAAGGCCTGTCCGCTTGAAAGGAATGTCCTTGTTGTCGAGGCAGTAAGTTAACTTTGGATGCGTTTAGCAATCGGTAATGAGATTGTACGTAAACGTTGGGTGTAGATGATTGTAAGTAGTTTTCCTGCACCTTAGCTGCGCAGCCACAGCTTTTAGAGGCATCACGTAATGGCGGTTGAATGTAATCCATCGATTTTTGCATGAAGTTAAGTGTCTTGTTCCCCGTGCATTTCGAATCCTTAAACCGTCCATTTTAGCGTATCGGTCATATGAACTCTCTTACTTTTAGCAGGTCTAAAATTGGGTTACGACAATCGCTGTATGTGCGGACTGCCTCGCACATCACACTAATCTGAGTTGCGTACAACCAGAGCGCTATGTATATGGAGGAAATCATGTTAAACCTTAGCGCATTACATTCTACACCGCCTCCTTTTTAGGTTTCACACATGAACTCGGCGCCTTCCAAGTCAACTTCCACAGAGTCAATGCATTCTCCGACCGGAAGGATGAATCAACCGCGCCCAGCTACTTGGTCGGTCACTGTCCCCGGGAAGATGCTCTTTTGGCCGCCGTAGCCAGCGGACTCTCGCTGCGCCGCGACATGGAATCCGTCGTCTTCGCCGGACCACAACGTCTGGAACAGTTCATGCGAACAATTCCCGCCGACCCAGTGACCAATCTCTGGGTTACCGAGGTCACCCACGTCCCCACCACCAGCAGCAGCAGCAGCAGCACACCCACGACCGTGCTCGAGGTGGAGTTCGTCAGCCAGGCGTCGACTTCCTCGGACGCCGTTCCCCTGGTCGGCGCGCATTTCGACTCAGTGCTGGCTGAATACTCGAACCAGTTTCATGCCAATTTCCAAAAGCGGTTCCCTCACAATGCGCACGAAAGAACACATGAACAGGTGGGTCAATAAGACCTCAATTTTGGTCTTATCATGCCGTCTGTGTGTCGTCGTCGTCGTTCTGCTCATATGTAGCAGAAACACTTTAAAATACCCTCTCCGTCCAATCACGTTCACACTAACATGTATTGCTCGCTATTTTAAGAGTTCTGTTTGAACCAGATATTCGTATACGGTAGTGCTGTATTCGACGCTTTGCTAATTTTATTTACTGCAACGTGGTGCGGAAATGCAGTAGACCGTTTTTTTTCACATTGTTGCAATTGAGCCCATGACGCAATTATCCGCCTATTTTGTTGGCTTGGTAGCCGATGGCGCGAGGCAATTAAGTCTGCCAGGCGGTTAGCACTGAGTATTTACTTTGCTACATCTCACTTGCCATCTCTCGGGTGCCAGAAGACATGCTTCCTTTCCGCTTTTTTGGGGTCTCATCTTTCCCCGTGTTTTTTATGTAGTTTTCCTCTGTAGCATCAGAATGCATTAACCTTCATTTAGGTTGCCATGTCTAAAGTCTGTGTGAGCAACCTGCTCGGCGGGATAGGCTACTTCTACGGCTCGAGCCTGATCAAGTCTCCCATCACGCACGGATCTCGAGACGACTATGGCAACCTCCAGTCAGCGATTGAGTACGGACCGGCAGGTCTCTTCACCGCGACACCCTCGCGCAGTCAGTTTCCTCGTGGTTTCCTGTGGGACGAGGGATTTCACGGCCTCCTAATGGCTCAGTGGGACGCGGAGTTGGCTCTGCAATCGCTGAGCCACTGGCTCGACTTGCTCAACGGCGAAGGTTGGATACCGCGGGAGCAGGTACTTGGGTGGGAGGCCAGAGCTGACGTTCCTCCTGAGTTCCTCGTTCAATCCACCTCGGTGGCTAACCCGCCAACTCTTATTCTGGTGGTGGAGGTGAGTTGAGGGTCATTTGTGGAACCGCCTAGAATGCGAGTGCATCTTTTTCCATTACTCCGTCATGAAACCCAAGCCTTGGCAGCCAGCCAGCTCTGCTCCTGGAATTGTTCAAGTACACTTCATGCACCACCGTAAATCCATTGCTTTGGTGATTTATCACCGACGTACTTGAGTTGCGTCAAGTCATAATTGACGATGGCTCAGTGGCCCATCACAATGGCGTGGCAACTACTACGTGTGATTTTGGCACAAATAATTACTGACCGATCCTTCGTAAAAGTTCTCACACCTGTTTAGAACAGTAATCACTAAGCCCCGGGCCACAACGAAGTGTCCAGGTGTGTTTGTCTAACCAAACGAGCTACCTTACTGAATCAGGTAGGCAATCCATTCGCACAACGGATAACGGCTTAGGTGGCCTGATTCCCTTTTCTGACCAATCACGCCGAATGTCTGTACTAGACGCCACTGATGATCAGATGAGCAATTCATCAGTTTGATGTGTGCAGCTGCTAGTCTAGTTATGATATTTCGAACCCTTTTCCACACAAGTTTCTGTTGGATCGCCTGACCGCAATGTCTCCTGACGAGGCGGCAATGTTTCAACGATGGGCCCACAATGCTTTCCCCAGACTTCACACGTGGTTTGTTTGGTTCAACACCACGCAGGCTGGCAATGTGCCCACTTCCTACCGATGGCGCGGACGTCCCACGAACAACCCCTTCCAAATGAACCCGCTGACTCTTTCTTCGGGTACGTTGATCACTCCAATCCACCGTGCATGTACTTCCAATAATTCAACTCGGGTGTAGTTTCACGTGCTTCTGCCAAGAGTTTGTGTGGGGGTGTTCTCCAAGGCACACAAATCCCTGGTTGTTTTAATGTTTACCCAAATTAGCAGCAACCGAAGCCACGGATTGGCCAAAGGATCAGTCAAGAGAGGAAACGGTCTTAGTATTTTGTGTGTGTGTGTGTGTAGTGTTGTGCTGTGTTGCCAATAACCCACTCTCAACTCCTGGCAAGCAGGTCAACCAGTTAGCTACAATGTGCGCGATTACAAGCTTGTCGTTGATATTCGTGTTTTTGTACAGCTTGAGTTGAAGCCCAGATGTCACATAGTTTAGCCTACTTCGGCAATCAGGAAATATCCACTGGAACTTCGGGAAAAAAATGCTTCAATGCGTGGGACGGCCGATTTTGTCTCGGTGTTTTTTTTTCAGTGTCAACGGGTGCACGGTTTATCACCAACTCTTTTGTGAATGTTAGACAGACAAGTGGACTGGGACACTGGTCCGACCTTCGCGCACCAAGGTTGCGTCCCTTCCTTGAAAGCGTCCTGGACAGCAAAACCAAGGAACGACTGTACCACGTTTTAGCGCAGCTAGTATGGTCTTTTGATTAAGGCTTTTCCATTTTCGCAGCAAAAAAAGCAAACAAATTAACGATGATGTCATTCATTTGCAGGACGATATGTGTGTGTGTGCGTGTGGGCCTCATATCCACGAGATTTAATGGCTGTGGAGTGCTAATGCAATTACTTCCGCTTTGGCAAACTTTGAGCGACTTATTTGTGTATTAGCATTGTAGCCGCACAATAAGTTTCTGCGTCGGGATGCTGGTTGGTCAAAAAAGTTGATGTCGCGTTTGTGCAACAGGTTTTTCCGTGCACCAGAGGCTAATTTTGTTAAAAAAATGTCACAACAGAGGTCTGAAACGGGAAGACAACTCCCAAGCAAATGGTGACCCCATACCTATGCATGCAAGGAGGCTCTAATTCGTGCCTTTTTTACCATTATGGCTTCGCTTAAGCTCTACAAACCGGTTTCTACACGAATTTCGTGCAATGCATTATTGAGGGCTGTTTTCCACGTTCCCTAATTGTAACTAATCGAAGCCCTCAAACCGCGCACTCTGGGTGTGATTAGGGCAAATAAATAGTCGAATTCGTGGTTTCTGGGGTCTTTATAGTGGCTGAGGAAGGTCTGTTATTGGGAAGAATCGAATGGATGTTGCGTTGCAGTGTGGAGGTTCTCGGTAATTTTGCGCTACAATTTGGGCTCCGAACGCTGACCGTTCAGGTGTCCGAGCCTTTAATTAACAAGGCGTAGTGCGTTAAGTGATAAAGAAACGTCAATTTATTATCAAACTTGGAAGTAAATTTTAACGTAACGACAGAATACAATGCGTAGGCCGGATAGTTTAGGTTAGTTCGCAAGGAATGCAGTGTACCTATGTTGCTGAGTTACAATGGACTTTTAGGCATGCGCTAAGATGTACCTCGGTCTGGCGGCATTTTTGCACGTTAAACCGCCTCACGGGTGCTGTAAACCAACGCATGCCTCAATTTCTCTCAAGCGCCTTCGGAGTCAATTGTGCTTTGTGTGTCGTAGGCCTTGATGACTACCCGCGGGCCTCGCACCCAACCTCCGACGAGCGCCATGTTGACCTGCGTTGTTGGATGGCGCTGTTTGCCCGCGTTCTGGCTCGCTTAGCCGAGTACATTGATGGCAGTGGTGAACTCTCCGCGTCAACACTGGCCTACCGTGCGATCGCTAGCGACTTGTTGGATCAAGGGAAACTGGATGAGCTCCACTGGGATGAAAGGAACGGGATCTATGCTGACTACGGCCTCCACACTGACTCACTGATGCTTGTGAGACCGCCCGCCTCGCCTAACGCCAAACCCGATGACCCCCCTGTATGTGCTGGTGTTCAGCGCCAGTTAATGCTCGATATGAATGCCATTCGTGATTTGGCGCCATCTTTAAACAAGATGTATGGTCTTGCTTCCCCGAATTCTTATAACACGACGCCTTTTCTGGCACCCGGGGTGTTATTGCCACCTATTTTGACTTCGTGTGGTTCAGATTAACAAGTCGAGGTTCTAGGGGTGGGATGTTTATTCCCTGCTGCTCCCTTTTATTCACCAGCTTTGAAAACACGTATTGTGATCTCGCTATTTTTGTTTTGCTGCAGCAACCACAAAAACAGGCTCTTGACGGCCCTGTCACCTCAACTACACTTTCATATTAGAAAGATTTCGTTGTGGTATCGTATCTTTTACCGCGTGACTCATGCTTCCCGTTTATTTTGTTTTCTCACCAGCCCGCGAAAATACGGCGTGTGTTGAAACAGCCGCAAATGCAATTCGTCTCCTCAAGTGTGGGCTACGTGTCTTTCTTCCCACTGTTCCTCCGAGTCATCTCGCCAGACTCCCCGAAGATGGAGATCCTCATCGATAAACTGGCCGACCCCGCGCTCCTCTTCTCCAAGTACGGCCTTCGATCACTCGCGCCTACCTCGCCGTACTACGCGCAGACCAACACCGACCACGATCCGCCGTATTGGCGAGGCGCCTTGTGGATTAATATTAATTACCTCGCTGTTGAGTCCTTGAAGTGAGTCTGGATCCCTGGCGATTTGATTGACTGGTCATAAATCAGGGCTTCGCGGTAGTTAGGTGTGTTGTTGTGGATTAATGAGTGCCATTCATCTTTCACGACGTGTGATTTGTCGTGTTTTGACCCCATTTTTGCCATCTCCAGACCAGTGTGGCTTTAACCTTAGTCGCAGTAGTTCCTGCCATATTTCTCCTTAAGGAAACCTTTAAAGCGTTTCGACGTATACCTTTGTTCTGCCGTGTTCTCGGGTTACCGCCATTCAAGTCTTAATCAATACCTGGTGCAGGCACCCACCCCTGGCGATGGTTAGTCCGAGTTTAAGGTACTTTTACCTCTCTTCTTTTAGGTTTTACGCAAACCACCCACGGGTCTCACCGACCGTGGCCGAAAAGGCCAGTCGTTTGCACAGAAATCTGAAGGAGGCGCTTATAGGTACTGTCTTGGGTGAGATGAATCGAACCGGGTCCACGTGGGAGCGGTACGACGACCAGACAGGAAAGGGGCTAAGCGGACACCCATTTAATGGCTGGACGGCCCTAGTCAGTCTAATGATGATCGACGAGAATAAAGCATAAAAATCACTCTTGATCTCCACACTCACGCACACACAATCACTTTAACATTTGAGCCTGTGATGTCCACTTGTGTTTCTGTTTGCCCATTTTTGTATTCTTGGATATGTTGACCTTCGTGGTTGCTGCGACTATCAAAAAATTAAAAAAATAATTTACTCAAAATCGGTTTTATTGCTTCGTATGTACATTTGGTAGACGCATAGGTTAAGTATGTCGATTTCGCATTAATGCTTCCGCGACTTGTGCTTGTGGTGTCGATGGTGCTTATGATGGGAGTGCTTGTGTTTATCACGGGATGAGGATCGACTTCTTGATCTTGACCGCCTTTTGCTAAAAAAAAGGTGAAAACCTTGGTTAAACTTGCGATATGAATCTAAAAAATGTCAATGTGCATAAAAGAACACACCTTGACTTGTGCTTTTTCTTCAAGCTCTTTTTGGCTGCAGCTAAAATGGACAAATTACGTGGTTACGCAGATGGATAAGCTACAGAAATAAACAGTTATAGCAAGAAATTCATAAAAACTCCCCGTTTAGGTGCCTACTGGGGGGACATACCAAGCTCAGCCTTTCTTCGTTCGATTGCTTCTTTCAGAAGTTCATCGGCGTCAGAATCAGAACTTGTACTCTCGATGTCCAGATCAATGTTGCCGGCGGCTCCAGCACGCAAATAATTGCGACATTGGAAAGTCAGATGACCAGCTGAAAAGATCGAATTTATTATGTTATAACATTGCTTACAAAATCCGCACTTTTTGCAGCCAGCGCGAAAAGGTTTTGCTGATTGCTTAGAAGCTATCTAAAATAACATATGTGTAAAGTTAACTTACAGTCCATGAGACTAGAATCAAGACAATAGCAGACGGATCCCAATCAAACAATCAGCCCACAACGGTTAAATGTAACCGATTAAAACAGATGCGCTGGATGTAATTTTTAATTTAATTTGAAGTTGTTTTTTGTATTTACAGCCGGCCAAATTTCAATTTTTTATTTATTATTAAATCAACTAGAGAATAAGAGCTTCTAATCACAAAATTATTCGTATTGCATGTTAACCGTTTGAGTTCCTAAAGGGTCGATATCTACAAACACTTAAGATGCTAGAGAATAATTAAATGATAGTTGCTTGAATGCCAAATTTAATTTACTGTCCGATCGATTTCAATGAATCTGTTTGCCTTATCAACTCCTAACTGGACATGTATTTCCGGTTTTATGAGAATAATAATTTACCCCGTTTTGAAGACTGACTCTGCTGCCCGGTGTTCTATTTTATTTAATTTTATTTCAATTAATTTTATTGTAGTACACAGTAATCACCAGCCAAATATTTTCATATTCTCGTCCTTTATATGAATTTAGTTCGGTGGAGTGAAGTTGACTCCATGACTACTAATATTTGGTAAACCATTTCCTAACTTGTCAAATAGGTCTGTAAGAGGCTAAGAAAAATGGTAAGCTTTTATTATTCTTACCTCTATAGCCTAAAAAATAAATCATAACTCCACTGTGAGGACATCAAAGTAAATGGTGAAATTTTCCTAGCATCTATTTTTCATTGCGGGTAAAAGTTTATTGATTCCTTTTCGAAATGTGCTAAGTTGTGACGAGTTTTTTTTCTTCAATTTTTTAACTTGCAAAGGGGTTGAAATGTCTTTCAAACGTTTTTATAATCATGCATGTTAATCAATTTTAATCCGACGCCTCAAGCAAATATGGAATGACCAGATTGTTGATTAAAACCCTAGGCACTTGACATACTGCTTAAACGACGTTACAGCACAAATCTTCTTCTTCACTGTGGGCTGTAGGCAAGCAATTGGCCCCGGTGTGCTTCAAGACCACTTGATGAGACCCGAAACAATCGTGTGAACGGATCCTTAATGACATAGTGGAAAAAGTCGCCCACGAAATGCGTCAGGGACTTCTATTGAAATCTGCGTAAATTGTCGTAATATTTTGCTTTTTCTACCAGTGCAGAATACAAAAAAATGCTTCATTTAAACTTCAACCCAGCAAAGTCCAAACAACAGAAATTACAATTCTCTGCATAGTCGCAAATTATGACTTGTTTATTTAGCGCCATATCCTAACGTCTTAGTTTTTTATTGGAGCATCAATGCACGTTTAGATGCATTACCAACTGGCACAACCATGCAAAGCAAGTAGACCGAGTCAGATGCTGCCGGCTGCCATGTTGTGAAGGGAAACATCTGGGTCGTGGCAGTTGCCAGTACTGCATACTGCGTCCCCAAATCCGCGATAGTTGCTTTTGGAGAACTGTCTCTACTGAAATACCATATGTAGTGTGTATTTATTAAAGTACCAAAACACCGAATCGTGCGACACCTAGGTCTGCTTGTGAACAATCGCGCAGAATCCACAGACAACCTTTTGCACTTCGTTATGCACCGTTGGTTCAGACAGAACAGCCCCTCGCACAACTTCCAGTCCTCTCTTATTCTGGAAAGCCTTCGACGTGGAAAACAAAGTGCACCGACTTGTAGCTCGGGGACTCGCACCAACATCCCGGGAAGCATGCGGCACTCACCCGTTACTTGAGTACTTCCGACGCCCCAATGTGAGACTCAAACCCACTCCCAGGTCAGTGATTTACGACAACTGAGCAAAGCATCTGACAACTCACGAGTAATTTCACGCACACAGACTGTGCTATGTGTGATCTAGCTGATGGTGAGCTGGTCACCTACGCGAGATCTCGCACAGCAACTTTTTTTAACGCAGTTTGAATGTCATTCGCAGGTAACATTTTTTATTCTCAGTAATATCTCACCGTGGTTTAAATTCCACATCGGGGTATCCACGGCGTAATGCAACCAAAACAGGTGGTATCGCACGGACCAAACACCAGTTCTCTGTCTCTTTGTTTACTGTGAAACACTTAGGTGAGAATCCCGTTACGGAGTAACCAATGAGAAAAGAGCTGAAGTACGGCCTGGATAAATTTATTAGCAAATAAGTTGAGCGATAAACATTCAGGCGCCCCCCATGACTGAAGTATGTACAGAACAACACCGAAGAATTCAGATTGGGTGAAACACCCAACCGACACACAAGAAAAAAAATTGATATTAGTGATAAACCAACAACTTGAAATGCGCGGCTCCAGGGGTTAAGAATGGAGAGAGGGCAGGCGGGAATGGGTGGTTCTAGGTGAATAAAATTATAAAATGTGCAGAGATATATGTATATATGTATAAATCATTCAACTGCTCTTATGCATATCGCAGACAGTGCGCGCACTGCCCGCCAAGATCGACCGCGACGATCGTCGACGCGGTGGGGAAGGCAATAAGGCCCGCCAGACGTCGCAGGCCCGGCTCCACCTCGAGCACGTACGGCTGTCGTTTGACCTGGCGCATCAGGCTAGCGCCCAGGTCGCGCAGACAGTCGTCTCGCATGCTCTCGGTGGAGTTGGTGGCGGTGTAGCCGTCGGCGCCGCCTCCAGACACGCCGGTGATGGCGCCCCTCCAGGCCGCCTCGGGGTACACCACGACGGCAGACCGCGTGCGGTCGGTGTGGCTGGCAAGGAGACACTCGCCGAGGTCGGAGGTGGCCCTGGGAGCGGCCGTCACTCCGCCGAAGTGGCCCCGCAGCGCGCCAGCGACGCCGACCCCACTGCTCGGCCGCATCGAACCCCCGACGGAGGGGGGCCGTCGCAGTGGCCGGTGGGCAGCCGAGTCCAGCGTGAGGGTGCTGCCAGGCGCGGAACTGAGTCCCACGATAGGCGGCACCAAGGTGGTGCACTGCGCCTGACGGAGGGAATTTTGGTTGGGGTGGCTGGGAAAACCATCGCCATTGGTTGATGAAGGGGGCTGCTGCGGAAGCTGGAGGAATCCTGCCCCCAGGGGAGGGTAGAGGTTGCCGATATGCGCCCCTTCGGATGAGTATATCTACAAGGCGTTGACATCAAATATTAATTACGCGAGACAAGCACTGACCTGGTGCAATAAGGCTTGTCTTTACTGGGTGTTTGTGAGACGATAATGAAGTTAGTGTGCTGTGCGGTAAGCAATGTACGCCTTTAACGATAGCTCGTTGTTGTTTTGTCGTGCAGTCGCTCTGAATGGAATAGCAAGTGACAAGCCAAATCTGCGTTAATGTAATTAACACCACGGAATCTGACCTCGCTCTCAAAAACAACTAAGAAGGACGTTTCAATGAAAAAGCGAAAAGCGAATTCTTGCCCAGGAGATGTCAAATTTGACAACACAATACGATTTCGAACACACGCCGACCAAGTGAAAAGGTGTAACTGGTCGGCCCCTTGATTGGGACTGAGAGGTGTCAGACGACGGAGGTTTCAAGGACGCGTCGTCACTTGACCTGCATTATCGGCAAAGGTGCGCGTTCCCCAAGCGAGGATGCGCCTGGCCCAAATGAACACACTACAAACGCCGGCTAGACATGACATCACTTCAGATGAGCTTGAACGCCTGCAATGATTCGATGATAAAGTTGGGCGATAGAAAAGCGAAGCTCACCCTGAGTTCCGAGCCGGCGGCCAGGACAATCTCGCCGGAGCTCATGACGCAGAGGCCGGTGACGCGGCGCAGCGCGTCGTGCACAAGTCGGTCGAACTGCCTCGCGCCGCGACCGCCAGCAGTACCAGCAGCGGCAGTCGTGGGCGCCGTCGCGGTGTCGCAGCAGCTCGCGCCGATCAGCGCGGTGACGGTGCCGTCGAGGCAGGCGAAGACACACCCCGCGCCGTTGTCGGCCACCAGGACGCGGCCGGTGCGCGGGCACACGCACACGCTGGTCGGCTCGACGAAGTGCGGACTTGACACGCGCCGCCGAATCTAACCAAAAGCCACCGCAAGAAGGCATTCAAAAAAACTGGCTGCAATTGAGGGACTGATAAGACAATTCGTGCGACCGACCGCCTTAAAATTTGGTCAAGTTTGATTACTACTTCGTTGAATACTCAGCCAACTGTAAAGTAAGTAAATGTATTTGAATGCTGATCAACTAACTGGTGTTGGCCATTGGCGACTTTCCGAATCCGCCCAGTTATGGCTTTGAAAAAAAGCACTTCACATCGGTTTCAGCTGCGTGAGTTGGCTTGCTTCTCTTTAAAACTTCCCAAGAGAGGTCGTCTAACGTTCTGGTTGCGCTGAGCAGTGCCTAAATCACCCAGCGCCGATCTGAAAGAAGCGTGAGTCAAAAACTGCAAGAATCGAGTGAATGAAGAAACCGATTTTGGTGTGTACAAAAACCAGACAAAATTGCTCCTCTCAGACTCGTGAATATGTAGAATAAGAATAGTAGCCTATCAAGGGGGAACCTTGGCAGCTGGACCCAATTCTCGTATATTAGCCGATCGGGAAAAAACCTGGGGCCGCGTACAACCAACCACCGTGCATATAAAATGCAAGAAAGCCGATGAACGAACCTCGTTTGTGGCGATGTCCAGCAACAGGAGTTCATTCGCCCGCCAATTGACCACCCAGAGACCCTCGGGGCAGAGAGCCATTCCGGTTGCGGCTTGTCCCTTGAGGGCGTCGTTGACGAGGGCGGACGTCACCTGGCCCGTCTCGCCGTCGGCGACCAGAAGACGACTGTTGCCGGTGTCTAGAAGTAGAACACAGTCGGACGACGAGGAGGAGGGGAAGGGGGCGTCGCCGCCGCCGCCGTCACCCGCTGCTGGAACGCAGCTTCCATTGCTCTGGGCCACTTCGTCCACGCCGCAACCCCCACTCTCGTAGCCGTTCAAAGTCGACGAAGAGGAGGAGGCTTCAGATGAAGGAAGGGAGGAAGAGGAAGTGGTGTTGGTGGTGGCGGCGGGAGCGGGAGCGGGCGGAAAACGACTCGATCGAACGACTGACACCGCGAATGGCTGCACGAGGCCTCGACCGTCTAGACCTGGAGGTGGTATTTTGACGAAATCGGCAGTGTGGTGAGCACGTGGTAGCCAACACGACAACAATAATACAAACACCGAAAGCGATATGTATCAATAAACGAAAAAACGGGTAGAGTACAAGCACAATGTGTGACAGCAGAGAACAACCCAAGAATTAGATTACGAAAGTGTTTAAGTAGGCTAAAAAGGGCTTCCTTCAAAAGGATCAGACGCAAAATCACGTCGTTTAACGGAAAAGTGAGTTTAAAGCGATGTGCAGTGACAATACACGGTTCACTGAAATCAGAGTCTGCTAATAACCCGGTTCAGAAGAACACAGCGAACTGAAATTAGATCACAGAAATTCGATTTGCATTACTCAGGCATAATGGGAGATCAGTGCTTCGGCGTTTCGATATCAAGGAGACGGATAAACGTGAAGCATGAAATCCTATCCACAGGGGGTGGATCGGCCTCAAATGAGGACAGGCGAGATCATGCCAAACTAAAAGATCGCTCTGAACTAGAAAAAAAAAGAATGCCTACCAACAAGCATCAGGAGTAAAGCCAAACAACGCCGATACCTTCATTGATACTCCACCGCGGTTTCTGTCTACTTCGAACAGCGATTCTGAAGGGAGAGCCCCGAATCGGGCGGGAGATGATATTGACGGAGAGCTTGTGGGGGCCCGCGTTGATCGGCAGTATTGTGATCTCGTAGCTGCCGTTGCCGAGGTCGACTAGTTGGGAAGGGGCCTCGCGTCCGTGCGCGTCCACGAAACGCACCACAATCGGGTCGGTGCCGGTGGTCTGCGGCTGGCCGTGGTAGTCGAAGGCGCGCACGAGGACCTGAACGAGGAAAGAGAGGGGCACTGGTGAGTGCAAAAGCCTTCACCCCTGCCAGGTTTCCACAAGCCTGCCTTCTAAACTGGCGCCAAACTGCCCACGCCCGAGCTGCGATCAGCTGATTCGAGGGGCTAAACGCCTCGGATGTCGGAAATTTTTGATATTAGAGCTTATTGACCGAGCGTAAAAACAAACAGATGTCATCAATGAGCCTGAAACACTCCCCTTTCAGAGCCATGTAAGAAAATCAAATCGGCATATTAGTGTGATGCAATGTCGACAAGTGATAATCCTGCAGAACGACGAAAAAGTTGCGCAGGTGTCATTAAATTTCACATCGGAAAATTTAATTTCGAGCGCATTTGGTGCGTGAAGAATAGCGGACAGTTTACCGGTCAACAGAGTGGATGGATTAGTGAAACAACAGATTTTTCTGACAGTCTGTGCGCTTCCCAAGTGCACCACATAGCAACGCCTTCGAGCGAATTACACACGTACCTCCCACAGGTGACCACTTGCTTGTCACATTTCGTCTCGCTTAACTGTCTAGTAGATGACAACTAGAATCCGGGCTGTTGTTTGAATCAACTCAAAAAGGGGGGTGATTATTGCGAATTGGCGCGAGTCCATGTCATTTGGACGTGGCTAGAGTTAATAAGCGGTGTGAGATGGAAGTCGGAGTGAAAAGGACTCCACCTGTGTCGGCAAGTTTGTTAAAAAAGAGTACACCACCATTGAAAAGGCTTTCGCATTTGGCTCAAACAAAATCCGGTAATTACCTACCGCGTAGGACACAAAAATGCAACCGCCAAACACACAACGGCTTCCTAATAAGTAATAATGATAGTAACAAGGTAATGCCACTCTCCCACGCGAGGTTGCTCAATTTGCATAACGAAGAAGCCTTTTCCGATGCCAACATTCTAAATGTGCGGAAATCACAACCCAGAAATGAAGATCCCTTACTTGAGAGTAGGGCTCCATCAGCGATCTCTGAATGCGATGATAAACAGGGAAGAGGATTCGATCACGTCTATTGGTGTTTACGGAGGGAATTTTGGCTGCTGTCGATTGTAGTTTTGAAAGGATTAGACGCTGGGTTTCAGTACACTGAACGACAAGTCTACGGCAGTTACTTGACCTCTCAGAATAGCAGACTTTACGGTGACAACCGATAAACAGCATTTTATAACGAAGCGTTTATTTATTGGTACAGACATTTTAGAAATTGTGATTTCGATATCAGTGACCAGCCACGCCCCGGACAGCAGCTTCGAAAGTCTGAAGATGCGCAAATGCAAGGTCTACTGGATGGAGACTCAACGCAAACGCGGCGCAGTTAGGAGTCACCGAAGCAGCTATTTCCAGGCTTTTCCAAGAAATGGGAAAATTTCAAGAACGTGTGCCGACTGAACACAACCCACGTCAACATGGCATCGTGTGGTTAGTGAACAAACATTGTAACTGCAACTAACCCTCGTACCCACAGTATAGAATTTTAGAGGTTGAAAGAAGTTGCGTGTGGAGTAGAGCGGTCCATGTGCACCTAGACGTCTACTAACACTAATTAATTAGTGGAGCGGACGCCAGACTTAGGGATGAGGGCTTCGTAGGTGTTGTTGAAAAGCAACCACGAACCTTCGATGGGAGGTTGATGTGGACCTCACTGGGAAGCGTGGCGGTGCACAGTGGGGGATAGGTGGTGCTGACTGCGATGCGTCCGAACGCGGCCAGACACCGGGCGACATCCACGAAACCAGCGGTTCCTGGATCGGGATGGTGGGATTGGGCTTGGGCAGGCGAGGCCTCGATAGCCACCGAATTGGTCCTACCAACCGGCGAGGGTCGAGGCACAGCGGGATTGTCCTGGTAGCGCAGGAAGGCGTTCTCCCGGGGCTCGGTCAGGCTGGCTATGGTGTCCAGCTTATCGTTCAGGTAGCTAATGCCTTTGGAAATCGAACGAACGTCGATCTAGGAAAGCAACGAGTAGGCGAAGTTAAAATGGCCTGTGTTGTGAGTAGTCTAAAGGTGGACGGGGAACTACACTATGCACTTGTTGGCACACCACCACGAAAAAGCACTCGGATAAAAAACGGGAAGTGTACAACCATACCAACCTGGTTTGAGCATTACATGTCGAAACAAACGTTCCACTGACGCCACCGCACTGACACCACTTGATATCGTTTTGGGACAACCGCATTCATTACGGCTGACTACAAAAACTGATTCTATCTTCGCTTAGTGGCGTGGGATTGGAAAATGTGTAGCGGTCTGAAATGGCAATAACCACTTGACTTAGTGGTTAAGGCCCCGTTGATGGGATATCGTGTGACTAACCAACCAACTAACTAATCATCTACTCGAAAGAAAGCTATTTTCGTGGTGAGGGCACTACCAGTAAGCCTTCGAATTCCTGAACTTACAGTGGACGTGGATTAGGACAGTGAACGCCGACCTAGCAGGCAGGCCCAACACAACTATTCAATATGTGACTTAGATAATAACCTCAAGTCATAACCGCTAACGGTAGGGTTTCCACATACACAAACATCCATGTAGAGGGTTGTCCATTTATGATCTGTTGACGTAGATCGTGATGGCGATCAATTGCCACACCAGAAATCAAGGACCATCTAACTGTGTCAACGAGAAATGGCAAAACACATCAAAACTTTAATCGATTATTGTCTGAGGATTACTAAACTGGGGAATAAATTGCTGCGCCTGGAGTCGCCAGTCTCCTCTTAGTTCTTAACAGTAGGGTTGTAAGGCTGCTAGAGTGCGGTGTCGCCTATTTAACAACGGCATTTTTCTTGTAACTCGACTCATGGGAAACCACCAACATTGCCGAGGTGCTTGAACATGACGTGCACGCCAGAACAAAGGATATGTGTATTATGCATGTAAATTAGCAATATTAGCATACACAAGGCAGCACGTGGCACCAACTGTGTGTGTGTGTGAAATCAGAATAGAAAAAGATATTAGTCACAAAAACACGACGAATGAGTTCCACAAGAAAATACAGCCAATCAACGCTTGCGAAAGACGCAAACTGCACGCCAATTTGCTGGCGTCTCGAGGATACTGCCTCCAAGGATCCAAACCACCACCATTTCCGAGAATAACCTCCAGAATCGGTAAATCTCGATGGAACCCGGTTCGTACATGCCTTCGCATAGTCCGTGTCTCAGTACCATCACACTACTCGGCAGTTTAAAGTGCTTTTTGGCTGTTATAACAAGGGCTGTTGACCAAGAGGGTTCAGCGGTCTGCTGGAATACTATGAACGCGGATCGCCTACTTCAGATAGACGCAAACACAGCACGCGTGTGGTCTCGAACACACGAATAAAAAAACTGGCGCTACAAAGTCGTTGGCTGTGAGAAAGGGTTTGACGCAGATTTCTTCTCAAGTAATATGATGTGCAACAACTACAACGATTCTCTTCAAAGAAAGTTGGAAGTCAACCTATGAGGCACTTTTGGCGACTCAAATTGTTTTGCAGAAAAAAAATACATTTTAACGGAACACGACGGAGTGCTGAAGGACTTGCTACTCGAAATCCCCACGTTGTTGCAGTGTATGTTGCAGTCTTTTTTTGAAATGAATGTTATGCTAGACCAGATTTGCACGTTTTGCTTGGATTTCAGCATTGAGTTGGTTTATTTGTCAATGCTTTACTCCACACCTACCGTTTGGTCACGCGGAAAAAGTTCGCACAATGTTTTACCTCGGTAATTCCTTCCACCAGACACATTTAAAAAATACTCTCATTGAATGCAAACAAGCCTTCACTGCACACACTGCTCTTCCACTTCCATAAATGTTAGCTTCCTTTTCTTATTTCTGTGTTATAAACATACATTTTTACCTCAAAGTCGCAAGACGTGTTCGTTTTGTTGAAGAGAGAGAAGATAAATGGCTGTCGTAACACGATCCGGTTTGGTGCGTTTTGTAAAAAATTGCACAACACCTCAACGAACTTCAAAGGGTTTCGTTGTGGGCCCCAGCATGTGGTCTTGATACTCGCGATGCAGGAAAAGACCGGAGAGAACGTGGACACAACCGTTTACTTCCGAGCTCAACCAAAACTGGTGTCGTTGTGCCGTGTGTGGGATCTACGCGTGCGTATTTATACCTCGGGTGTGTGAGGCACACATGCGCTAACATCGAGACCTAGGCGTGAGGATAATCCAAGGTAAATATTCGTGCTAATTAAGAGGGAGTTGAGGATCCGCGCGGCTGGCGACATGCTGCGAAAAGGGGAACCCTGTGCCGGAGGTGGAGCGACAGGATTAAGGGGTCGAATAAACACGATTCTCAACAGTACCAAAGCTGCATTCAATGGCGAAATGTAGTCGAGTTGTCAACACAGCCTTTACTTCTTCTTTAGTGGCACATCGTGGATTGCTGAGTAGTTGACCATGCCGGATGATGCGCTTTGAGCACTTGTTTGCTACCGCTCCAACAGTCGGTAAATGTAAAGTAATTTCGGAAAAAAAACAAAACACCAACCAGCGTAAGTTGCGTGTTCGAGGCAGAGGGGAGCACTCAGACGGCCCGACCTCAAGATATGCGCAAATACTCACTCATACGACTAAGCTGTTCCAACTGGACCAAAGTTCGAGGGCCTAGGAGACGAGGTGACTCACTACTCAAACACACTTAACGCCAAGCCAACGAGCAAATTTAAAATCTCGCCAAGCCGCTGTTACTGCGCGGTGTTAGCGCTACCATTAGATTCTGCGAATAACCGTGAGAATTCCGGTGAGGGAAATATTTCCGCATTCAATATTAAACTGGTTCTTGCCGAAAATCCCTGTCCAGAGCGGGCAAGTAAGAACATGAGAATAAGGACGAAGGCTGGACAACCATTTGGAAAACAAACCACGAACCAGCATAATCCGAGACAGAGGTCCAGTGGTGTGAGAGGATTCGAAGTAGATGATCTGTGGAGCTGTAGTTGCCGCAGCGGTGTAAATTTTTTTCGTGGCTTGATTCCCTTGTCGATTTTGCACAGCAAGAACCGACGTGGAGTTGTGTAGAGGTACAAATCAACTCTCCGCCTTCTTGGGGTCTTGTGCTGCGAAAATCCGTGTGGATACTAATGTCAATTGAGCCAAATTATATCTTGAAAGAATCGCTAGCTTTTGGATGAGAATGAATTGCTGTTTTTCACGATTCAAAAGTCCTTCCGTTACGGTTGTCTTATGTCTCGCCATTCAGACTTAACTCCACGCCGTCCCTATCGATTTCGCCGGAACCGTCTGATCATACTACAGCCCTGCGCGTGTACCAACCCAACCCTCCACCCCCCAAGCTACCCGTTCACCCAGACGGTATCGATCGCCTGTCAGACACCTTTGTATGAGGCGCAGTGGCGCGACTAACCCAACCAGATTGAGCTGTCTAGTAAACGGTTGTCTCTGCCGCCACTGCTATTCTACTCGTCTTTCCGGGTATCCGAGCCAATCTCAACACAGCGACCTCGACGTGGTTCATGGCCACGTGCCGGGGCTTCAACACCGACCTGGACAATAGCCTTCGAAGAAACGATCAAAAGCAATCTTCCTTCTACATGGATTAATCCAACTGCAAAAGTTATCACCCAAAAAGACTAGGAGGGAGATTGAGAGACGCAGGAGCGCTGGACACGGTAACCTAAAGTAGAAATTTGGCCACGTGACCTCTGGTTTGTGATTTTGTGTTGCTAAAAAAGGAAGAAAGGGTTGCCCTTTTTGCAGCGACTGACAACGGGGCGCTAAAAGTTGACGATCACGTTCAATTGTTTTTAAAGTATGGTCGAAATACCAGGATGCCTAATATGAAGAATTTTCTACAACTACGGTAGACAATTACTTAGCAGATAACATCGCTTAGGGCTGACGACTAACCAATGGTAGTGGTGGAGAATAAGCGACCAGGTAATACAAACTGGTAGTACGCCCTACTCTAGCGCGACAATGCACGATCACTGAACCGTCTTCCAGTGCTTTCAACATTTTCATAAAAAAAACTCGAAAGGCATTTCGCTGATGTAGTCGACGAGCCGATTTCCAAGCGAATATGCCTGCTTCCGACGCATACAAAAAAGACATGCTAGATGATGTGGGGGGATAGAGCTTTCGTTGGTTGTGGCCGGAGTAATGTTGGGACGATTACGTCCGAGACAATGCGTCCACAAAACTACCGCCACAAAAACGATAAAGGGGAGGAAAAGAAAGTCCAAGCCACGCAGCAGTGGTATTAGTTTTAAAGAACACAGACGACAGGCTTACGGCTCCGTCGTGTTCTCTTAACAAGGGTATCCGCTCTAGGAAAAACAACGGCGTCTATCGAAGGCGGACGCGTGCCTGGTGAGTAAAAAGCAGTCTGCGCCTCCTAACTGCTTCCCACGGTTCTCGTAGTCGCGCGCACAACTAAACTCTAACACGATCTCGCTGGGTGTAAGACGTTTTGCGACAGATAGACAGTCACGTGTTCCACACTACTTTCCAGGTGAAACACTTGCCGCCCCTCCTCGTTACTGAAGGAAATCACACTACACATGACGGCTCACTTGAGACGCCTGAGCGGAGACTCCGAGCCATCGTGAGACTTCTGAAACTGGGTTTACATCACAGCCAGGAAACGAATTGGGCGTAGAGGTTTTGGCAAAAAAACCACAATTGGTCACGCCTAGGATGACAGTATCTCCAATGCTAAAGTACGACAGAGGGAACGATTAATCCAAATAATCAAGTCTTGTGACCCTGAGTCCGGGGTTGGGCGCCTCGAAAGGGTCACCAGACGCCCTTTTAAGAATGCAACCGGCGTTAAAGACCGATTTGCTTAAAATAGGGACGCTCGACTTGCTGTGTCAAACAGGTTCTCGAGAAACATTGATTCCGACACAAGGAGTTTGCAAACTAACCGCTGTTGGGCCGAAATGGAAATCAACTTATGAAGCTGCAGCCAACATAAGGCTTCAGAATGGTAGCCAAGTCGCTATACTACGTGAAAATAAGTCATAAGGCTGTAGCCACGGCCTTCCTAAACACGGAAAGGATCTACTTGGTTGGATACATCGAAGGAAGGGCAACCACTGAAAGTGGATTCCAGGGAATCTAGAGCGTACCACTAGCACAAAGAGGTCGGCAGAATAGAACGCTTTTCAACTAAGACAAGGCTCCAGCATATTGGCCGGTAGCTACGTGGTCGGGTTTACACGATTTCGCAGTCGAATTGAACGATATGTTCGCAGATACATATTAATTTCGAAAAAAAACAACAGCAGTTCATAGTTTTTTTTTTTGAGAAACGTGCTGATTTGACAGGAAATATTTTAACGGAGGTTGCTTGTATCAACTGCAGAAAAACTGTGGTATTAAACAGGACGCACTTGACAGTGAGGTGGCCTAAATACAAACCACAACGCGGGATGACTTAAATGCAAAGGGACGTTTAGTTCTCGGGGCGTTAGGTGGGACATTTAGATGGGCACTGATTGGTGCTATGGAGGCACTTGCGTAACATTCACCATGACACTTTCGTTCTGCTGTGTTTGAACCCGCTGAAGACTGTTTTAATTCCGTTCACTTAGTGAACAGTGCTTCACGAGTGGCTACATTAGTGAGTTCGTATTGCAAACTCGCGTAATGTTAACACATGATGCTAATTGATGTTTCGTGGTTTCAACAACACGGACACATTCTGAGCTAGCTTTGTTGCCTTTGACTTGATCGACCAGAGCGAGTTGCCTGTGTGTGTGGGGGGGGGGAACTAGGGGTGAGGTAAAAGAGGGTCGCAGTCTGCCTGAGGTGATTCGATTGAGCGGGGATCAGCAATGAGTCACCGATCCGAGCCTATGCAAACTTACACGAAATTAGAGGACAGCAAACAAACCTTTAGAAGCACGAATGTGCTGAAATGTTGTTTCAGAAGTGTGCTCAATCAGAGCTTCTGCGGCATTTCAAAATGAGACGCACTAGGACGATGTCAGTTGAAAATGCGGAGCTAAATTCAGACCCCCAAAGGAGCTACGACGTGGCACTAAAAATATCTGATTGCTAAGGAAGAAGTGAAAGGCGCAAAAAACAATGCTGAAGCTGTCTCAAAGCCCACAAATCCCAGCGGGAATTCCATCCTGTGAAAGCGGCACGCGATAGGCAGGTATTTTAAAATAAACCAGCATCTTGTTGCACACATTCCCAACTTGAGTGAAGCATGGTATATGGAAATTTACAACGGCAACACAAGATCGACGGTAAAACACATGAACAATGGCTGCGCTACACCGAAAATGCGGCGGTAGGGGTAGAGAAGAGCAGGAAATCAATGCCGACGGGAGAGCGCAAGAAACCAAACAACATCCTTCTTTCTACCTGTTGAGGTGAGTGATGCCGAAAAGGCAGAACTAACACGTGCACGCAATTGGCGGATAAAACGTGCGGCGGTGAGCCAACTCGTTAGCCCCTTGGCTGGGCGAAAAAAAAACGCACACCCACACGCACACACACCCACATACCCAGGTGTGGACACTTAAAAGTGAGCATAAATTGTCAGTTTTTGGACCAAAGGGAGTGCGACCGGTTACTGTCAGGGGGAATGCACCAGAATCCCATCTAGTGGGAGCTAAAACAAGCCAGAGCGGGGGTCAGACGTGACGGCCCGCATTTGAAAACAGATATCAAACTCGCATAAAAGACGCACGACTTTATTGTTGCCGGCGATTTGGACAGACACTTGGCACGGCATGTCCAGCTAGCAGGCGTCATAAAAAAGTGAGTAAATAGAGACGCTTGGACGACGATGGAGCACTGCGAAGAGATTAGAGTGGCAGCATTGCAATTACGACGTAGGACAGGTAGTGAAGTAGAAACCCTTATGCAAACAGAGGAAGCTGAATCGGGATGAGATGGGAGAATAACAATGGCATTAATGAAACAGCCTCATGACAAGTGATCAAAATATCAGAAATGACAGGCGTCACGGGCAGTAAAATGGTGTTTAATTTATTTGAAATATTAATAATAACTAGGGTGGCATATCAAGATTTAGAATATTTGGACGGAGACTACTGACTGAAGCAAGAAGGCGATTGTTAATCAACCGAAATCGCAAAATGTGGTCCGCCCAAACTGTCAAAAATTGGCCCAGAAGTCTTGACGAGTAATTTGACCGTTATAAATAGAAACTGGCTAAAGTAAAAGCTACAAATAACTAGTTGTTGCTTGAAATGACCACCCTATTTTTGTCTTTTTATTGCAAATACGAACGACCGCGTCAAACGAAGCACTCGATTTAGGTATCGTGTGCGCGAGGTGGCCACGATGGTAGAATGTTGTGGCATCACGAACCTCAATTTAAACTATTTCCGAACAAGAAATAATATACCAGAAGGAGAACAGTAATTTTGGTATTCCTCGTGTCTGTTTCGAAGTGCTACATCGCGATGACTCACTTCCAGAGCCCAACCTTTCTGTTCTTTAATTTTCTTCTTCTGCTTCAATCACTACAACCTGTTTTTTTTCCTTAAAACATTTCAATGGGTTTTAAAATAGCCCCTTGACAGTTACAACGCAGTCACATCCTGTCAATCTGCATTTGAAAGTAACAGTCTCCTGAAACCGAGGGGCTGAAAGTGTATTGCTGATCACGGAATGTTATGTAAATTCCACCATTGGACCAAAAATTTTACCGCCTTTAATCAAATTGTGGTACGTAATTGTCTGAAGCGAAGCTGAGAACTACCGTTGGCATGGTTGAGTGAGGGGAAGAAAACTCCCCACACTGAATCAAGAGACTTGCTGCCGAATTAGTATAAGCAATCGGGTCGAATTTTTACAAGTGATGGGGACTAAAATAAAAAAACAATGACCAAATTTTAATGACTTATTGGGAATTTGAGATTTCAGAGGTCATGCTTGGTGTGATGAACTATTCAGGCAACTACAATGTGGCAAATTCGTAACGCACCACTTGGGAAGACCATCTGGCAAGCGGGATAACAGGGTGCGTACACCGACACTCATCTGTTTGTTTTGATTTAACACCTGTTTATCAGGAGCACACAGAAGGTGCTAGAAGAGGCTAATGAGGGAACATCTTTACACACATACACACACACACACATGTACGATGCTGCAATAACCTGAATGCATGAACAGCGAAGGGTGAGAATTAATGCCGATTTCGTGATAAAACGACACCCCACGACAACAAACAGACGAGGAGTAATTAGCTACGGTTAGGGTTGACAGTAAACAGAGGGCATGTGAGGCGCACCTACAACAGGAGAAGGAATCGACCAATGAACGTCTCATTGCTCATTTACGCCTAGAGCAAGAGGCACGAGTACTTCAAAGAATACAAGGTAGTGTTTTTTGGGGGGGGGGAGGGGGAGGGGTTTTAGTTAATTAAATGATGGTAATCTAAGTAGTAAATAGCTGGAGTTCCAGTCAAAATAATGTGAAATTGCTAATGGAAAATTAGATTTTTGCCCGCCTACAGCCCACCTAATCGACGCCACTGTCAACGCCCCAAAACCGATCAGGCAGTCCATTGAGAATGAGGGACTGGGCTCCACGAGTCAAGTGTTTTAACATTCTTTTGACTACAACAGTGAGACGTCTCCCACCTAGTTGGTATTATTAGCAAGACACAAAGAGCAAATTGACAAAATGCACATTGTCTGAATGAAAATGGGCAGTGCAAGAGGTCGCTAGACAAAGGGGACCACTGCTGCCGGGGCAGAGGCTGCCTTGATCCTTTGCATGACCAATTTGGCCTGGGTTCGTGGTTACGATTGGTCACAGGCAGGCGAAGTCATTTCGTGTAGAACCGGCGTTACAGTAATGCCACAGGTCCCTGCACACTACAGTGCCTAACTCGATCATTTGCAATATCTGCAGGTGTGGCGCGTTTAGTAGACAAGGAAGGTGAGCTCACAAATCAGATGCACACCGACCTAGCAACCACGTAACTGACTGTGAGCGTTATAATTAAAAAAAACGATTTGACAAATTACTAAACTCGGAGTGACAAATTAATGACGTCGACAAGCACGATCGACATCATAATCACATAGGTTTGCAGTAATATTACGTAAATCAACAAGCCAGGCTCTTAATAAAGAAGGTGTGGGTCGAACCTCAATAACTAGATCATAAAAGGAGAAAAGCATGCCTTTGACCAATGAGAAAGCAACACAGACACACCATGGCCAATCATGAGACGGACAGTGGGGGCGTCGTTTGATAAGTGACAGTGGAAAAGAGTGATGCCGACTTTGTGCGATGTCACAAAGTTATTCCATGTAAAGCTACTGATAGCACTGCTGACAAAACCTCCTACGTCGATTTCGCACATCAAAGCTAGAAAACACGCTTCCTGTTTGGAGTAAAGAGGAAGAAAAGTGTCCTGCATCGTTGTTTCAGTGACATGCGGGGGCTGGACGTCATGTTGTCAGTTCAGATGCTGGGTTTTTTCTGACGACACAAGATAAAAGCGAGATATCAATAACTAGTAGACACCCAATGATGGGTAATCGATATTTTGTGCGGACAGAAACGCGACACTGAAAGCACTTCAGACGGTGGATTATCCTTATTGGTAACGAAAGCACTTCAAATCTTTGTTAAACCACTCTTAAATTGTAAATTTGTAGGCAACAGCAATGGTATCAGTTGACTTCGCAGGAATTGACCCTGTTCAGGTTAATTTAACAAGATCTAGACCAGGTAGCAAAACCAAACGTCCTCTCACGGGTCCGTGAAAACGTCGACAAAAGTACTGAAGTAATAGGACTGGAGAGGTCACAGACGTGTCAAGGTAGTTTGGGACAGAGGACACGCGGTAAACTTAATCAACACACGTACACCAGCGCAGCAGGCATGAGCTAATTAGATCTCCAAGTACAATTAAAACCTGGCAATAATTTTGACCCGATCCAAAACAAAGTACGCCAGTGACCACTAGATTAAGTCGATGGAAGGTTACTACGATGGCAGTAGGCAGTTGAAACGCACCAGGTCGTTGAGACTGTCACACTGGCCTCGAACGAGGCTCCTCTCAGACTCAATGAGAGCCAGCTGATCCTCCAGCGCGCGCCGTTTCTCCTCGCTGATACGCTTTATCGATTGGATCACCTCGGCCTGTCTCCGCTCAACCAGGGCGCGGATCTCCGCGAAGCTCGATTCGGCCGCCTGCGGGGGGAACAAAGACGGGTAACCATCAAGATAAGTGAAAAAGACTGCTTATTGTCGTCTATATTACAGCAAAATGTAGGATAAATTAAGCGAAAATACGCTCTGATTGTACTAGGGTAAAAGCTGATAAAACAGCAGAATCAGAGAGAAGAGGATATCGGGTGAATTTATGGAGAGGTTGGTTGCAAACCCACGGACATTCCACGTGCTGGTACCGAGAGGGGGGTGGGGCGGGGCAGGGCGCATGACACGTGAATGCCAATCACTGATTACGAAGGAATCTGAAGGCAAATTTGACCTTTTGACCACAACTGAGGCATGCACCAACTACAATTCCCACGTTACCGTTGCGTGTATAAGAATTCGACAGAATTACAAGCGATCCATTGCGACCTGTGGAGCATTGGTTGAACAGCGCGAGCGAAAAGTGACGACTACATGGTAGGGCAACCGGCGATCAGTTGCCAAAAGTTGCGTGTGAAAAATCGGGAGGCAGGCGACATGACGGTCCCTTGTCTCAAAGTTAGGCATCAAATATGCTCCAAAAAGAAGGATAACTAATCAAATGCGAAGCAAAAGGTGTGTTGTGGGCCCCAGCATGTGGTCTTGAACCACACCGGGGCCACGGAATTAACCCTGGCCCAATTACGTTTCCCTGATACCCGCGATGAAGGAAAAGATAGGAGAGGACGTGGACACAAGCGTTTACTTCAGAGCGCTCAACCACGTTGGTGTTGTTGTGTCGTGTGTGGTGCTTGCGTGTGCGTATTTATACCTCGGATGTGTGAGTCATAGATGCGCTAACATCGAGACCTAGGTGTGAGGATAATCCAAGCTAAATATCCACGTGAATGAGGGGGGAGTTGGGGATCCGCGCGGCTGGCGACATACTGCGAAAAAGGGGACCCTGTGTAGGAGGCTGGAGCGACCGGATTAAGAGGTGTGAATAAACATGATCCACAACAGGTGCATGCGAAGATTTACAGCCAAACCAGTGCAGACCGCCACACCGGACCAGATCTAGTTCGCCTCACCACCACAGCCACTGGCTAGAGAGTAATAAAGATTCCGGCATTGTAGGTAATTACAGGCACGCGTTATATCATCACAGTTGGTTCGGTAGGAGAACCTGAACTGATCTCGCACCAAATGCAGTCTTTCTTAGTTTAGGACACAACTCCGTTAGTCGCAGAGGATTGACATGGAACGTCAAAACTGACAAAAGCAACGATGACAGGCGAGAGAGTGTACGTCTTCTGCGACGCTGTGGTGCACAAGTAAGGCCTGCTAAAGACGTCTTCCCCACTTCCCACAGCATGTCAACCAGCTGTCAAAGCTGATTCCCGTCATAGACAGGGGGGCGGGTGAATCCTCAGGAAGGATTGAAAACAAATTCAAGTAACGATGGATAAAATAACGAAGGGATTTTGCTACAGTTCAGCTACACCCACGACGAGAGAAGCAATTTTAATCTTTTTTTTTGAGGATATCAGGCGGAAAAACCTGTGATTAATTAGCCAATCGCAAAGCGAGGACGTTGGAAATGGTCTCAACTTCATTCCAGGAAAGAAAATCAACGACTGGAAACTACGCGTGTACACTTCTCGTGTATAAACTCAAGTCCAACAAACAGTTTGGTGAAAATCCCAACTGGAAACATAATACTACGGGTTTAAAGGGTCAGCCGAGGATTCAAAATGGCCAAAAAACGAATTATCCACGGTAGAAGTGTTGTGGCTCTGGGATATCCTGGTAGCTTCCAAAAATCGACAATTTTGCATTTCATACGTGGGATAAAACAGGGGGAACAAATAGATTCTGATCAATTTGACTTCTAACTAATGTAAGAGAACCAGCTACAGCGGGATCCATTAGGTGAAATAAGCACCCATTTCACCTCTTTGCTACAATTTGGGGAGCAGATTTCCCTTAATAAAATAAACTGGACATGGCAGGGCGACCACGCAGGCACTGCTACGTCACTGCAATGCTTCGCAACTCCTCGCGGCCCGATGCATCGTTTTCACATGTAGGTGTGTCACATAGACGATGAGAAGGCCCTAAGGACATCCGGCGAAGCCATCTTGCGTTCAAGGTGCGCAAAACGTAAACAGTAAATAGACGATGGTGACAAGCCACGAACCACACCAATCCAGGGCAGATGCGCACATCCGAGGCACAACAACGTCGACCCAGGCTGCTTGAGAGTAGCCTACTCTTATGCGCAGTCACCTTCGATTAAAAATCGGTCGTCTTTTATTAATCACTGGAGCTTTTCGCTTGCATCTGGTTGGTGCCAAAGTGGGATCTGTGCATAACTAATTTTGTTAGTTTAACTTGCGCCAAATCCAACGGAGGCTGTATTCACAGAATGTATGTATGTTGTCAAGTTGATTTTCGTTACTTCAAAAAAGCGCGCGAAAAACCGATGATCCGGTGAGTGGCCAACCATGTGATGCGTTTTCTTAAATAAAATCAATGCCATTTTGTCCGATGGCAAACTTTACGATTGCAAAACACAAATGCTAATTGTTAGTTTGTGCAAGGATTTGGGTGTATCGTTATGAAATGCATAAGACGCGCCTCAGACGTTTAATTGTCAACAAGTTTCGACATGGTAACAATTCTATCGGGTCTCAATTGCCGATAAATCAGAATATCCCACCGTCCCCTACAGATTTGGGACGGAGCAAAGCCTTAGACACAGAAATTCGTTTTTTTTTCAACTGGATCTCGAACAAACAGCTTAAAGAATCAGCGGTTGGACTTGAGAAATCGTGGTCAAAATTTAGCGTGCTTTCACTTACGTTCATAAAAACAAATTTGCGCCAGACAAGAAAGATGTGTCAACCAATTGCGTGGCTACGGGCTAGGGGTGTGGATAGCAGCAGTCTATGCCGGAGTAAACCAAAGAGGAACAACCGACATTTGTAAGCGTTGATACAATAATATTACGACGCATACTCGGCAAAAGTGGCAAAAAAGGTAGCACAGCAGTAAGCCTGAACCCCTGCCAAAGCGAAAAAGATGCGGAGAAGCGCTCTTGGGTGAAAGTAAACCCTGGAATAAATTGTCTATTAGGGAAGCCAGCAAAAGTCATCGCTGCTTGGCAAATATTATCTCAGCGGAGGATCACCACAAGTCAACTTCCTGGCCTGCTTTCAGTGATGGTTTGGGAAATTCTAAAAAAAATTCTACAAATATGGGGGCCCACTGAAGTCGATGAAGATCCTGCACTGGCTGAAATTTATCTTGAAAAACGATGTCGGTTCGGCTTTCAGACGAAAACAATCGTGTCACAGTCAGCAGAACACCGCTGTCTAATTAGGAAACAGAAGCATTGTTTTGCAAGTTTTAACTTGAGGCGCGGGGCGGATTGTAATTAGCAAACCACATGCGGAAAAAAAACAATGGCTGACACCAAGACAACCGTCGCTACCTGCCCACGCTGAAAGCTAGTTTTCAACTTGGTTATTAGTTTTGTGAGGGGATTTCACAGGAACTACTCCCAACTCCTGAAGACCGTGACGCACTAGCTAGATGGTAACCCGATCAGTGAAGCAGATCAGATCATAACTGTATCAAATGAGCAGGGTATTTGGTAAGCACACAGAAACGCCCCGCGCACTACGAATTAAGCATTGGTCAGTTTGTGTATTTCCTACCAACCTAAACAGCCCGAATCAGCGTAAAGACGTCCCCAAATAGTGACACCGAAGCCATGTGTTTGCAGTCTTACGAGGTCTTCGATGGGTAAACAGTGGACTAGTCTGTGAAGTAGTTTCTAGCCCACACCACGGGACGCTACCTTATTTGAGGATAGAGGGTGGGGGTGGGGTAGGTTTGGGTGACACGCGGCTTCCAGTGGCGACGATTTCGTCTGGGAGCGGTGCTACACTTGCATCCCTCAGCGCCCACTAATACGATCCCCACGTGCAAAATCACCCAACAGTGTTTAATTAAGTGAACAGATAAAAAATCACATTCAGGTTTACAGTGGAGTGTTCTTAGTCGCTTAGAAAGCCACAAAAAAAATGCAGAAAAGGCGGAGTAGGTAACTTGAAGTCTACAGATGAGTAGGAGCGGATGAAGGTGTAATCGCAGGTAATTGTAGGCGATTTCTGACACATACTTAACTCGGTGTGCGGTTAGATTAGTGCCCAAAGTAACTACAGTCACACGGTTATTACGGGATTCGGGTCATCGCAGGCAACAGCTTCAGTGGCTTTAACTGCAAACCAGGGTAACCAAGGCACAAGAAGCTGATGCCCAATAACAAACGCTGATTTAGCGAAATGGGTTTAGCAAAATGTAGGTGCCAGATGTCGAGCATAAAACAAACGCTTAGATTGCCACCGAGTCCCTAAAGCAATGCCCCATTACTACCTGGCGTTGGTTTGGTGCGAACAAATGACTCAGGAACAATGAGAAAGAGATAGTACAGTACACACGCCAGAGCAGCCACTAAACCGTGTCGGAGCTCACCACTGCGTCAAGAAAGGTCATTTGTCAGTAAGAATTCGGGTGTAAAATGAACGAAGGAGGTGATTCGACCAAGTACACACCAGTAGCCTGCAATGACATTGTGATTAAACACACAGTAAATGGCCAAAAAACACAGCACAAGCTAGTGAAGCATAAAAAAGCAAAACACACACACACTCACACACGAGAATTCAGTTTCATGCACAGTTTATGCAAAATACCACAATGGTCAACGCACGAACAAAAAGAGCAGTGGAGAAGCGAAGCGTGGAAGCTATAATCTGGCGCAGGTCAAAATCATCAGCAGAAGTGTGGGAATGCGTGCGTTCGAGTTGGCCATCACTTGCTACAAGTCCCAAATTTCAATTCCGCAACGTCGGCAAAAAATCTGGTGTGAATCGCGTTGATTCACACCTGTTGATCCGGTCACCCCAGACACTCACAAAAGGTCTTCCTTTTCGCAGCATGACGTCAACCGCGCAGATCCTCAACTCCCCCCTCATTAGCACAAATGATTATCCTCACACCTAGGTCTCGATGCTAGCGCATCTATGACTCACACATCTAAGCCAACTACGACACCAACGAGGTTGAGCTCTGAAGTAAACGGTTGTGTTCACGCCCTCTCCTATCGTTTTCTTCATCGAGGGTCTCAGGGTGACAAAATCGGACCAGATCGAACACAGTGGCCCCGGCGTGGTTCAAGACCACATGCTAGGGCCCACGACAATCGGTGACAGCACAACAAACTTTTCATCAAC